GTCGTCGTCGTCGTCGTCGTCGTCGTCGTCGTCGTCGTCGTCGTCGTCGTCGTCGTCGTCGTTGATGATGTGTTATTGGAAAAGGTGTAGAGAGAGAGGAGGTTCAGGCAAACGATAGTAGTGTTCACTGAGGAGCGAAGAAAAGTGGAGTGTGTAGTGGAATGGACTTGGAATGGAATGGAAAGGAAAGGAATGGAAAGGAAAGGAGAAGGGAGTGGGGTGGGCACGGTGACCGTGGTGCTAAGCGCCGGTCGACGCTGCCAGAGGTAGGAGGGAGGGAGCTAAAGACCTGGAACGTGCTTGCCGTCGGAGGGGAAGCGAAAGGAACCCCCCGGTCAGTGACATTAGAGAAACTACGACAGATTTTCTGCGCTTCATTCACGTGCGCGCGCGCGCGCGCCCGCGCACGCCACCTATTCCCCATTGGCCGCATAGAGACAAACATTTGAAATTAAACAGGCACCGTTACTTTTTCTTTTTTTATTCTATGCAATCCGTTTGCTTACTGATTCTTCATAATTTATTTCTGTCATTCATGACATCTTTTCATAGGCAAAGAATCTAAAAGGGATTATTATTTATTTATCGCGATAAAAAGATTTGTGCACAGCAGGTATGTGTATGTATGTGTGCATGTGTGTGTGTGTGTGTGTGCAGGAGCAATGACGATAAAGCAATCAAATTTCTGTCAAAGTGTTTCTTTTGTTCTCTGTTTTTTGAGTAAAGGAAAGAGTAAAATGGCAATACGCGAAAATAGGATCGGTAAGTTAGTGGTGGGGTTGTGTGTGTGTGTGTATGTGAGCACCACGAGGTTACGAAAATGCACTGGCGGCTATTGTAAACGAGCCGGCGGCGCATACGCACAGAGTGCATGCAGACCGCGTGCATCGCGCATGCTCCTTGTCCCCGGCTAGTCCCCCACCACGCGAGACAGACCGCGTGGCAGTCTGATCAATCCACTATGTTGCTGGTTCCGTCCTTCTTTCTGACCTATCATTCCAACGAGTGGGGGAATCAGAAAGGAAAAACAAGATAAATAGGATACACCGGCTACCTCACCTCGTTGTTCGGTTCTTCCATTAGTGTGCTAGCTTTCTTTCTCTCTCTCTCTCTCTCTTTCTCTCTCTCTCTCTCTCTTTTTCTTTTTCTTTCTTTCTCTTTCTCTTTCTCTCTCTTTACATCACGTGGAGAAATGCGGCTCTTTCATTTTTCATTCTTTATCGACCTGTGGATTCGAGCGTTAAACACGCGCGCGGGGATGCGAATAAAACTTGGCCCCTCGTGTATCGTATTGTTTTTTGAAAGGCTTATGTTTACATTGATATTTATTTCATTGTTTTCTTCAATGATCCAACTGAATTTTCTTTTTCTACAATCAGACCTCGCGTACATTTATTATTACATTTTAGACTTATTTTACGATCCAAATAAATATACTACTCCAATTGGTAGATAAAAAGTCTCATTTCTCTTGTATATTTCTTGTTACAGGTATTAAATTAAAAAGGGATCGTAACGAGCCAGATGAATTCCTTTGCGAAGAAAAAATGCTTATCATCGATGGTAAGTTAAATAAATAAAAATAAAATAATGAAATAAATATTGCATTAGTAGAATGTTGTTGTTATCATTGCTACTTCGCGATATATCTTGGCGATGTAGGAGATTCATTTGAAACGTAGTAGAGTCAGTTTCGATTGAGAAGAGTGGCGCAGAGGGGACATCGTTGTCGACGGGTTTCTCTGCCTCTTCGAAGGTAGTGACAGGGACGAGTTTGGTCGTCGTGTGCAGACCATGTTTTACTTCTCGGTGTGTCGACCGAGTCCACGCGGCGGCAGCGGCGGCGGCGGAGTCGGTCTGACAATGAGTTTCGTTCGTTGCATTGAATCTTATCGAAAATAATTCAACGGGGAAGAGCTAAAGTATTTGTGTGTGTTTATATATATATATATACTTTTGAAATTGTTACACCTTATTACAATAATTCTTACACTGGATATCCACAAATTGTCGTTGTCATTATCATTGTTATCATCGTTGTGTCGTTTCTACCGATTTATAATTGAATAGTAATATTTTTCAATGAAATACAATAAATGTTATTGTGAAAAAGATAAGTCGGTATTAAAAAAAAGTATTTACAATCACGGATGTAAACGTGTACACGACTATGAGGATTTTGTTGATCCTCGAAGATACTATTCCGTTGTCTCGATCTCGACCAAATATGAATACCATTGAAGATACTTTGGTTGCGGAATTGAGGAACGATGACGATGGTGATGATGAAAGTAAAAAGAGCAATAACAATATCAACGATCTCTCATCGACGCAGGTCGTTGGTATAATCGATATAGTCAAGGATAAACCTATACTTAACTGGATATCGCCTCCACCGAAGAAAAAATGGATACGACACTATTTCCTCGGTGAGCTGATTCTATCGCGATAACTAATTATAAATAATTATCGTATTAAAATCGTCTTGAGGTATGGCTAAATCAACTACATTGGGTTACAATTGTTATTTTCTTGTTTAATGAGATTCAATACTATTAGTATAGTATTAGGTTTGTGTTAGCTCAGAGTTATTTGTCGCGTGTTGACAAATTTTTTAATATCACCACCTTGCCTTCCCTTTCATTCTCTTTCATTCTCTCCCTCTGAACAAGAGAAGCTCATGTATTCTCACGTGCGTAGAATTCTCGTCTGAGGATTTTCGTTCTGTTCTTCTCATGCGAGTCAGAAATAGATAGAAGAAAGAGCGAGTTATGCGGCGGGACTTTGCCAGGTCTCTTGGTACATGAATGAGAGTTAGCTGTATGCGCGTACACGTGCCGCGCTAATTTATAGCGTCGCAAAGAAGAAGAAGAAGAAGAAGAAGTTGAAGAAGACCCTCGTCTCGTAGCGATGAGTTTCGACTACTCGCGTGAAATCTTCGTTCTTTCGCTTAATACCAAAAAACCAAGTTACAGTATATATTGTCATTTTTATTTTTTCCACTAAAACTAAAATACAGGGATAAAAACATTTTGTAAATATTTTCGGAATGACAATTTCACGTGGATATTCGTTTATCCATATTTGGATGGGTAAACGAATGTAAAACGATAAAGTCAGGTCGAAACCATCACCATCGGTGACACTAACGTTTGCTAATCTTAGACGAAAGTACGACCATTCAGATTCGCCCATAGAATGGCTCGAGTACTTACTTAACTTACATTGCACTCGTTCTACTCAAAGAATCACAAAGTGTGATCAGTATAGAGCTAAAATGAATAATGTCATGGATAGAAAAAATAATGGTTGCATAATTAACAATTTAACTTGTTAACAAAATCATTATTTTTTATTCATTTTTATATAGATTTGTGACTGACTATTATTTCATTTGCAATTTTCTTCATTTTCAAGTTTGTATTTCAAATAAAATTATATTTATAACCTTTTTTAATAATGTTGTCACAGAAGAAGAGCCGTTGGAAAACAATAGAACAAATGGAAATCATACCAACGTACCTCAACGAGGGAGTCCGGTGATCACGACTTCTCGCATCACACCACCAGTCGCAAATGTTAATCTTAACAGTCAAGTAAGTGCTCCTCATTCTGGAGCTCATCATCATCATTATCATCATCATCACCATCATCATCATCATCATCATCAACAGCAGCAGCAGCAGCAGCAGCAGCAGCAGCAACAACAGCAGCAGCACCAGCAGCAGCAGCACCAGCAGCAGCAACAGCAGCAACAACAACAACATCAAATACAGCAACAGCAACAACAATCACCAGCATTACCACCGGCACCCCAGTATCAGCAGCAACAACAACCACATCTTCATCATCATCATCATCAAAATAATCAGAGTACAACGCAAAATCAGTACTTGGAAAATCAGAATTCCAATATTGCGCAACAAAGCACTGGCAATCTCATCGTAGATGTGGAAGTTGCTCATGACAATAAAAAACACAGGAGTGGGTAAGAGTAAAATCCCTTAAATTCCAATGAAATTCATTTGTAAAGGAAGTTAACGAAAAATAGAAAAATGATTGTGGGTTATTACAGGTCGTGCGTGATTCGATCTGGTACAAGGGAAGTACACAACAAGTTGGAAAAAAATCGAAGAGCGCATCTCAAAGAATGCTTCGAATTTCTCAAAAAGCAAATACCAGCGCAAGAGGACAAAAAGTCCTCGAATCTTTCCATTTTACATGCTGCCATCAAACATATACAGGTATGCAAAATAACATTTTGTGAAAGAGAGAGAGAGAGAGAGAGAGAGAGAGAAACTTAAAATTGTAATTACAATATATTTGAAATAATAAAAAGAAGGCAAAGATGCAGCAAATGGGGTTTAAAGAAACTAATGTCAAAAGAGCTGCTGACATAGGAAGGGAATGGGAATTGGAGAGGGAGGGGATAGATGTATCTTGAAACTGTTGAAGCCACGTGCGCTTGGTTGAGTCGCGCATGCGTTTCTCTCTCCCTCTTAATAGAGATGCTAATGCACAAAGTTCACCTTCACTCGCAAACTTTCCCCGCTCTTGAAGCGCGCCTAAAACACGTGCAAAAAAAAACGTTGAAAAACGATGTGAATTCGACTTATTTCTTGTTGTTGTAGTCATTAAGAAAAAAAGAACGCGATAATGAGCACGAAATGGAAAAGCTGGCAAGAGAAAAAATCGCGGCGCAACAAAGGTTGGTTGCTTTAAAGAAGGAACTCGCAGCAAGGTGGGAACATATCGACTTTAATACTCTACTGCCAGAACAGAGTTCGTCCGCGGAAATTCAGACTACGAAAAATGGTAATAATTACAAATATGTAATTAGTCAATTTTTCGTTAACAATTTGTTGTTGTTTCAAATTGTTCGTTAACACATAGTACGCCGGTGACGACATCTAATACATTTGAAGTCTCTGAGCGCCAGCCTTCAAGCAATACACGTCGAAATTTCGCGTTTTCGCGGGGCCGGCGTACAATGTGTTAAGAAATTGTTCGTTAAGTTCCAGAAAGTATAGAATTGGAGGTAGCCGGATTAGCGCGCGGTGGTACCAGATATAGCAGCACGAGTAGTCTGAGCAGCGCCGCGACAGCTAGTTCGCCGCAAGCGCTTCAAACGACGACGACTAATAATTCAAATCTTCACAATCAAGTTGCTACGGCTGCTGTAGTCTGTCAAACCCAGGGACTTAATCTTGCCCAAAGTTCGAGGGAAAGTCCACCAACTAGTTCTAGCCCTGGCGTCGTCGTACCTGCCGCCGCTGCCGCCGCTGCCGCCGCCGCTGCCGCCGCCGGGACGACGCCTACTATTCCTACTCCAGCTCAAGTATAAAATTAAATCTTTACTTGTTGTCTATTTTATCGTATTCTTTATTTATTATTATTACTTTTTCTTTGTTATATCAGGAGAAAGTGACAACATCTCCGACGAATTTGGTGCAACAGTCTCATCTGCATCTACCAATAAGCGCCCAGATGTTAAATACGGGTCAAGGATTGGCGACGATTGTACCGACCCTTTCTCATATCGGTCCTGGTCTCAGAGTTATACCTGGCGACACGAGACAACTGTTGGTTACGCATGCAGCTGCAGCTGCTGCCGCTGCGGCCGCAGCCGCCGGTGCTAACAATGAAACCCGACCGCTTACGTTGGCTGTACAAAATTCCTCGGATCAATCGAGGCCACTGATTGCCGTTCAATCGAACACTGGAAGCGAGCCAAGGCCTGTCGCACTGGTCGTGCACTCATCGACGGCTAATGACAATCGTGTGACCTTTGTGCATTCGAATTTATCGAATAACGACAGACCTCTTACTCTTGCCGTACAATCTTCGGCTAATGACGTAAGGCCAGTTACATTTGTACATTCTGGAAACGAAGGAAGACCCTTGGTTCTTACCGCTCATTCTCCTGCCTTAAACGTCTCCAGTGAGTGATCTTTCCCTTTTTGATGAATCATTTTCATACTTTCAAAATGTTAACCATTCTTTTTATTTTTTTTCAACTAAAATTTAGAAACTAAAAACTAAGAAAAAGTGTTCAATCAACGGGCGCGAGTGCACACACACACACACGCACACGCACACGCACACACACACCTACCTATCTACCTCTATTGAGATTATATAAAGAAAAAGATATTGACGACTTAATTCTCTATAGATGCCCAAACGAGAATAAGAACGGCGGGTGACACGACGCCGCAAACCACGCATAAGATGGTTGGAGGTGTTACGCTGGTCGGTGGAACCGGTTCGGAGCTAACAAGACTTCCCGGTGGTGCAGAATTGAATATTCTTCCAGCAAACGGTGCGTCCAATTTTCATTTGAATGTATTATTATTTGTGTATTTGTCGCGAATGTATTTAAGGTCGCACCATGTTTCACATTTAGTTTATAGCATTGTTGCTATCTATTGAATTGTTTCGGTGCAAAATAAACAAATCCATTAGCAGAACAGTTTGTATAAATGGCTAATGTTGCGAATTGTTTTGTAAATGGATGACATGTGCTCATATTATTATATATATATATATATTAAAGATAATCATTTAATATACACTGAAAAAGAATAATAATAATAATAATAATTATTATTATTATTATTATAGGGTTGACTTTAAGTCATGCAGGAGTTTCCCTTCAAACAACGACAGGAAAGGCGGCGGGTTCAGCGACAGTGATGTCCAATGCTCCGTCCACTGAAAGTATAGCTCACATAGTCGGCCAACATGCTCCCCTTTCCGGTCTGACACCGATAGTCGCACCAATGACCGTTGTTTCCCAAGGAAATCAAGTAACTGCTCATATTTTAGCACCATCAAGTCTTACGGGAAAAATGATTACAACTCCTATTCTCAAATCTGTGGGACAAATGCCACTTGTAAATGCTCAGTACCTTAATACGACGACGTTAGTAAAACCAGTTGTTGTCGTCAGTTCGCCATCAAATTCTACTCCACCGTCGTCTACTACAACATCATCCATCACGCAACCTTCCTCAACTTCGCATTCAACCGTCTGACAAAATCAAAGAAAGATCAAATTAGTTTGAGGAAAGGCTATTTATTTTACATTTATGGAAATTGACAAGTGTGAATCACTTTTATCAACTTTTATGTAGATTCTCGTAGGCAGGTCCGTATATGTTTACTGGCACACACTCCTCACACATATACACACACTACATGTAATGTGTTAATCCTATTCGCGCGTCATTAGTCATTAGAACCTATCGTCTACGATTGTCACGATTTCACGATTTCACGATTTCACGATTTAACGATTTAACGATTTAACGATTGAAATGAAACCAACCGATATCGATTTGTGTACACGAATCTTATAAGGAAATAACGTATTGCGCTTTGATTCCTCTATTATATGATTTGACATCTAACGAGTAGTTAGCTTAGTTGTCATTTTTGACTTATACTTTCTTTTTATTTTGTCTCTTTGTTATCTTTAACTTTTACTCTATTCAATTTATCTCTATCTCTCAATTTAATTTTAATTCATTTTAGAGCATCCAAATTTTCTTCTTATTACGTACGCTCTGCATTGCTGTTATACTGTTGTGTACATTTCTCTCTAAATGATATCTCCGTTAATCTTTGATTATGCTTTTAATATGAATGCTTTTAATAGAATATCAGTTATAAATATATATACCATATATTGCAAATGTTAATAACAAAATTACAAACTACGCGCTTACGAACTATTGAGAGATCTGTACTATATCTTTGTATTAAGGTTGAAAGAAGAAGAAGAAGAAGAAGAAGTTGGTTTATACAATTTAATGATATTTTTTCTGTACTGTAATGCGCGATCAAAGAGAAAATCCAACATAATCTAACAACAGTTATTAATACTTTTTAAGTGGGTATAAGTGATATTTCTATCTATATAGACATTTTGTTTCCTCTAAAGACTAAATGTACTGAACGATGAAGGAAGTATAGGCAATGAAAAACTTCAACTAAAAGAAATGAACTTGTTGCAAAGAAAGAGAGTAAACAAGATAACAACAAATTGTTAATAAGCTGTCTTTCGAATAAGTTGTAGTATTTATTCTTTTATATATTTATTTGAATCATGCAACTCTATGCATGTTACTACTATTCGGCTTAACAGCATGCCTAATAATATCGATTTACGATTCTTCTCTATTTTCTTGTACTATCATAGGCGCATTATAATGCATAATTTGATTATAAACGAAAAAACAAACTGACAGAGAAATGAAGGAATACACAAAGAGAATGAAGAGAAAATGTTCATCCATCGTCGGAGTTTATTTTATTATTATTATTACATATTTTGCTTTTAATATTACAAATGATTATAGACAAATGTCTTGTTAAAGATTTGTCTATTGTCTATTGTCTATTGTCTATTATCTGTTGTTAAACTAAGAGATGAACATTTTCGTTTAATCGTATTTGCAATTGTTTGCTCACGATAATCGATGAAGAATCGATAATCTTATTAAATGTAAATGGCAATTTGACAACATACTGAATCGTAAATAAAACTAATGAAGTAGAATGTAAACTAGAGTGAGACACAGAGAGAAAATTCGATTAAGACGGATAAAAGTAAAAAAAGAAAAATTATCGATAGAAATAAATAGCGCGTAGCATTCTGTACATAATACTAATCTGTTACGTGGTAAAAAGTAACAAAAAAAAAAAAATATGTAGAATGAATAATGAGACGAAAAGAACTATGAGAGAGAGAGAGAGAGAGAAATAGGAAGTAAGGGAATGTGTTTACGAACAATGTGATATAAGTAACAATTTAAAGTTAATTAGTATCTTGTGTAGCTTTTAAGGAATACTGTTGAATTGTTTACTGCGTAGAGCGAGAGCGAGTGAAAGTGCGAGAGTGAGAGAGAGTGAGAGAGAGAGAGTATATGCTGATAATTATTATTAACTAACATCCGTACTCAAGAGATGGGATGATTTAATTGTAAATAGAATATAATGAAATGATAGAAAATTACGAATTATTATTATAGACATATATGTATATATGTATTGAGTAATGGATGGGAAGAAGGTATATATAGAAAAAAAAAAAAAAAGAAAAAAAAATTAAAAAGTTTAAAAAACTACATAAAGAAAACATAGAAAAAAAAAAAAAAAAAAACTGGGAAATTTGGAATAATATTCCTTGATGATAAATTCTGTTTTATCATCCGAGTTGGTCAAAAATCTATCATCTTTCATAAATATTCCATGCAGTAGAAGAGACACCCATAGAAATTACGTAAGAAAGAAATAAAGATATAAAAAAAAGAAAAAATCAATAAATGTGATGATAAAACGAGAGCGTTTAATTTTGAGTATTGTTATTGTGTTGGTAGTAATCTATGACAAATTTTGTTGTTATAACTTCGTTTGCTAAATATGTTACCGTTAAAGTGTTTTATTCAATTAATTTATGAAGATTTACATGAAAGTATTACATGAAATAATTAGGGGTGGTTTAGGGAAAACGTAAGTACAGTAGAAATTCTTGTTAAAAAACAAGAAAAGATGATAACTTACTACGAGCATTGTTGCATGAACAACAGTTGACTTTACAGATTGATTCAAATTTTAATTTCATATTTTAAAACTATTCACTACTCCTAATATTCTACCTTATTTCATACTTTTGATATTGTACATTGGATGGTCAAATATTTATAAGAAACCACATTACATTACGAAGAAATGTTAAAATAGATTTCAAATGAAAGAAAGAAAATTGAAAAGATATACACCTTTTGTTTTTTTTTATTTTTTGACTAAGAGTTCAACAAGAATTGATGCAATCTATTAAAAATAGTAATGATAGTAACGGATTTTTCATGGTTTATTTATTATTACAAAATAGATATTTTAGAAAGAATCAAGATTTACAGAATCAAGATTATTTCATAGTCTTATTAATATCTTTAATAGAATTGCAATATTTGACTTGTTCATTTCCAAATAGAAAAAGTCATATAAAAAGATATAACTCCTCGTCACTGGAAATAAGTCAAAAGAAATATTGGAATTTTGTATTGTTCAGTCGTCAAACGTCTTTTGGGACAAGTTCAAATTAGAATTTAATATTTAACTGCATTAGCGGCATAATCAATAACAAACCTTTTTGTTTTCTAATTGTATCACTTATAACCTCATTTTTTAAACGTTCACTACAATTGAATCATTTCAAATGAAGAAAATCAATGAAAATAACGTAATCATTTTGCAAGTACTTTATAATGACATTAAATTATAGCAAAGAACAATTTGTAATTGGAGAATTAATTTTAATTAAACGAGAATGTAGTTTAGGTAATAATAACATTTAAGTTAACAAAAGTTTGACCGTTGGTTAGACTGCTAATTGAGATATGACACAGATTGTGACATGAAAATTTGCCAATTGGAAATACATTGTAAGTCGGTGCAATTAGAAAAATCATCATTACTTTTTCATTTTGTCAACAAATCATTTTTTCTAATGAAATTTATATCAAAGTTTAGATTTAATTCTTGATTTGTATAGATTTGTAATAGAAAGTACTATCTATATAGGTATTGTTCAAATTGAATTTCCTTCGGGCTTTTTAGCTTTAAGATTGGTCATCCTGATATTTCTCGTATATAAGGAGGAGGGGGCTGTAAGCGAAAAAGGCTACCAGTTCAAAGGGTTAACTTAATGTTTATTAATTAAAAATTCGAATATTCATTCGATTGTGAATTCTAGTCAGTATATATTTTGCTAATGCGTCAATTGATTTTGGCGTGGCATGGCGTGACGTGACGTGACGTGCGTGACGTCACGTCGCCATTTTCTAACGTTACCGGAACGCCATTGATGCGCTATTCGAACGCCATTGATACGCCATTGATACGTGAACAGAAAAATCAAACAAAATGAATTAAATGATTAATGTTAGAACTTTTAAGATGGTAAAGGGAAGGTAAATCTTGTAAATAGAATATAAATTATTATACAATATAGATATTATTATACAATAATGAAATAGAAAAATTGCTAGTCTAGCATGCAGAGGTGTGTGTACATTTTCATCATGTATTTGTCATGTATTTGCCTAAGGATAATTTTTCTTTGCTTATAAGCTACAATAAATACTTTTCATAAAATTTGTAAATATATATTACGATTAAATGAAAAGTATTTCATGCATTTCGAGGTTGCAGTCATCAATTAGTAAGAAGATATATGTAAGCGTATAAAATTGCACACATTGTATTTTTCATATAAAACAATCAATATTTTCCAAGCTTTAAACTTATACGCTGGCAGTGAAGTTTACTTTGAATTAATTATCAAAATATTTGTGTGTTCATCCTGCATTCAAAATGATTTAAATGTAACTTATATGTATATAACAAATGTATTTCATTAGGAAGTCAAGCGTTTGCGAAATTGATAATTAACACTTGTTTCCAACAACATTTGGATTAAAGCATACTTCAGACAAAAATGTTTCATTGAATTGTTGGAAAGTGATAAAACGGATATTTGGGTGCGAAATGATTCGTAAGTCCAATAACGTGTTCCGATTCGCCTCGTTCTCGAAGATTTCTTGCACCATATGTTGATTCCTCGTACGATGGGGGTGCTACAAAATGACAATTATACAAACAATTATACAAACAAATTATACAATTTAAACATTTCATTGTTTAGCTAGGAAAAAGAACAAGAGATTTGGTCATTACGTAATTGTGGGTATAAATTTGAAGTAGGAGACGGGTGAAATTTGTCGAAAGTTTTGCTTGGCGAGTCGTCAGTAAACTTGACAGAACTCTCAGGAGGAGCACTTGGTGTCTGATAATTAACCAATGGTACTGTTCCCACGAAAACAAGAGTATCACTCTTTAAATTACGATGATACCTGTTGGTTGATTTCATAATATATAAGAATTGAATTTCAATTGAATATAATATATATGTATATGTATATAATGGTTGGAAGCAAGTGTGTAATTGAAATTACAGACCATCCTTCGACGCACGCTTCAACCTTCAGACGATATTCGAGATCGATGATGCTACAACTATTAAGATTCGAGGGAGGAAGGGCTGGAACATCCAAGTATTGTTCGTAATCTGCAGTAGCTCCGCCATCGAAAGGACCTTTACTAACTTCCGTTACAACTATCTCTTCGATTCTTGTATCCGTTTGTGGATTAGTTGCACGGAATGTCACGATCTGAGCTTTTTCAAATAGTGAGTTTCAGTTTTGGCAATATTTCCAAGATAAGATCATTTGTAATCATACCTTGCAAAGAATCAGAGCAATACGATTAACAGTAACGGTAGATAAATTTTCGACATTGACTTTGATTGGCATCGATTGACCGGGAACATATCCTCTGACCGGTAACGAATAACTTACGTTCAAAGGTGCACTGGCACAGCAAAGACAGCAGAAAGATTTACTCATTTCTTCCACAATTCGTTCCTAATAAGGAGAAATTGTTTTCAATGTTATTTCTTTCTATTAATTCTATTAATTTTGTTTTTACAGCTTACCGAACTTTTCGATTCCGTATTCAAATCGAAAGGTGATACAACCGTGAATGCCGCTTTAACATCCTGATCAAATTTCCATGGGCGATCTAAGGTAGCCTTGACCGTATATCGAACATGACCAAAGTCAGATTCGAAGCTGCTAGGTAAATTTGCAGGTAAGCTACAAGTAAACGGAAATTTGTGTTCGCCCGCTTGTATTTCGATTTCATTTCCTGAAAAAGAACAACATTCAACATTGCTATATTATGTTTAATACATTATTATATACATACAATTATTGTTAATCATATATCATAGTTATACCGGAAGCCGATCCAACAAGATAATATTTCGTCTGGAAATATTCTTCGTGTGCAGTGAAAGTTGCATTTTCATCGCAATACTTTCCTGTATCATCCAACGTTTGTTTATCCGTAGTCCAATAAGTATTTGCCTCTCCTTTTACCTTGACGCAAATGCCTATAAATAAAACGATGAAGTCATTCGAATGAGTCGATAAGAAGAAATCTAATTAACGGCAAAGCAATTAACAGAAGAACAATTTACGCGGGAAAATGAAATGAAAGATTGTGGATCTTGGTTGCAGGATTAGTGAGTGAGTGGGTGGGTGGGTGGTTGGTTGGTTGGTTGTGCGGTAAACTTAGGATCTATAATTAGAGCTAAAGAAACGGGACCACGTAACGGTATCATCATCATCATCAACTGTATACCAAAATACAATAAGGATAGTAACAATAACGATAAAGGGAAAGAAAAAGAGAAAAAAAAACAAAACAACTTACCGCGAATCTTTTTAACTCCGTCAATAACCAGTACGATATTTCCCGACACCGTTTGACCGGGATAATAAATTTTCCATGGATTGTCAAAAATGATGTCGAATTTTGTCAGACCCATTTTCTAGAAAAACAAATACAATTGTTATGTTTTATCCCAAGCGCACCATTCCAATGTATTTTTCTATATAAATAGTGATTTATCCAGAGCTACTACTCTGACATGCGTAAGACACACTGAGCTGAGCTGAGCTGAGCGACCTTAATTTCTATGCGCGTCGAGGAGGAGGAGGAGGAGACTCGTGTGGCGCCGTGTGGCGTCGCGTGGCGCCGTACGGCGCCGTTTATGTTCAACCTATATAAACTATTTTATCTTCTTTATCTTCTTTACCTTCTTTAGATGATAATGACAACCCTTACTTAAACCCTGACGTATACGAGTATGCTACAAATAATAACTATCCTTGACAAAAAATTATGCTGAAAGATGTTCGATTTGAAAAAAATGTCATTTTGTATTTGGTCGAAATCCTAGAAGATGTATCTATCCCTTTAATAGAAATAGAAAATAAGTTAGTCAGTTGTGGGTGTCTGTGTGTGACATTTACAGGGCTTTTTCTCGGGTTTTGACGCGCAAGCTCCGTATCGTCTTTATTGATCCGTGCGCGCGAGAGAGAGTGCTGTAGCACGCCGTAAATATTCGTCCTAGCGAGGGACCTATTCGTATTCGTCGTGGCGAGGATACGCGCGTTAAAAGGTGTACAAAAACGACGTGAGCGTGGCTTAAGATGGCCCGGGGAGACACGGAGGATGGACCCCTGATTCGGCCCGTTAATGCCGGTAAGTTATTATTATTGTAATATCAAAATGATAGTATCCAAATGATTAGCCCAACCCCTGACCTGTAGGGGTCTTTCCTTCCTTCCTTCCTTCCTTCCTGTTCCTGCTGATAGGCAGGGATGCTATTTAACAGTGTTTAACAGTGTTTTATTACTTTATTTTATGCAATATTATTCGTGTATTTTGAAATTGATTGAAGCAAAGTAATGAATGTGTAGGTGTACTTACAGTACCTATAGTCAAATGCTCGTGCGAAAATTCGATTATTCTCGAATGTCGAATGGTTGGGAGATAGATAGGTATGACGTATCTTTGATGGATTGATTTTGAATTTTTTATTGTTGTTATTAAGGATTATTTGCAACTGTTATTGACAAAGCTTATTTGGTTGAATTTCAGTATCGACGAAAACATTGGTCGTACTATGCACCGGCGGTGCCTTCCTGGTTTGCGCCGTCGCGATGACCTGGTGGCTCTGTCGACGACGACATGAACATACCAAGTTGAATGCTGACAGATCGTTGGCTTTCAGACCTCCTCGTAGAAAGCCGACCGCAGTAAAAAGTCCTGGTAGTACGAGTCATTATTTGAAAAAGAGTCCGAGTCCTACCGGTCCTGCTAAAAATCCACCAGGTTCTACTGGACAACAGCAGCAGCAGCAGCAGCAGCAGCAGCAGCAACAACAGCAGCAACAGCAACAACAAACCATTTCGGACTTGCCTACGCCGCAAATACCTACGAACAATATTAATTACGATGTATCGCATTGCGAAAAAGGTTAATATCTCAGTGAGATAAATATGATATTTTTGTTAGAAAGTATTGAAGATTTGATTTGTTAATTTGTTGTTAAGCTGGTACTACACCGGTTAAAACATCGAGTAGCGAGGTTACGCTCATCATCGAGGACGAATGCGACAAAGCTGAATTGGAAAATAACGAAAAAGTGAAATGCGAATCTAATTTGTGCATGTCAGATAAGAAGAACGGTCTTGGTATATTGGTATTTAAATTGAGATACAAGAGCGAACAAAATGCATTGGCAGTTACGGTCGTTAAGTGTAAGAAATTACCAGCTAGGGATCAGGGAAATACCAGCAGCGATCCTTACGTTAAATTACAGCTATTACCGGGCAAACGACATCATGTGAAAACAAGAGTCCTTCGTAATACGAGAAATCCTGTTTACAACGAGGATTTCACGTTCTTCGGAATCACGAAAAGTCAACTCGAGGTACCCCGATGAGAATAAATAAAAATTGACAAAATATGAAGACAATAATATAAGTTGGGGCTAAGATTAAAATATAATATACTCGTCGTATATATGTGTAATGTGTTATTACTTACAGGAAATCAGTCTACATTTCGTCGTTTTAAGTTTCGACAGATACTCGCGCGATGAAATTATCGGCGAATTAACGTGCGCACTTTCCTCGATACCAGGATTAAAAGATTCCGATAATCAAGAAATATCACTGCGCCGAAACATCTGTCCGAGGAGTTTGAAGGTCGGTGGCACCCTATGATCAAAGTTTACACCTCAGGTTATCAACTTTTTTAAATTCTTCTTTAAATATAGTAACATACATGTAAACAAACTAAATCGAATATACGTAGTGCAATATTTATTTTAGATACAATTCCAAGGGAGAGGGGAACTGTTGGTATCGTTTTGCTGGCAATCGGCAACAAATCAATTATCGGTGTTCGTCTTGAAGGCACGAAATCTCCCTAAAATGGATGTCACGGGTCTTGCCAGTCCTTACGTTAAAATTTATCTATTGTATCAATCGAAATGTATCGCTAAAAAGATGACCCACGTAAAAATGCATACGTTAAGTCCTATATTCAACGAGCCCTTCGTATTCGATATACCCAACAATATTCACAGTTTAAGCAACGTCAGTCTCGAAATAATTCTTTACGATTGGAATGCATTAACTAAAAATGAGGTAAGAACTTGACCACCACCTTTTTTTTTATTTCTTCATTTAATTTCACATTTAGCAGCCTTACACTTTTCACCATTTTACAGGTTATTGGCAGATTAAAATTCGGTGGTTCCAAATGCCAAGGATCCACGTTGAATCATTGGAACGAAATTTGTAGATCTCCTCGACGGCAGGTTGCCGAATGGCACAAGTTAAGGGAATAATCCCTTGACCTTATCTCCTATCCTACCCTTTTTCTTCGATTTCCTCGAAGGATCATTTTATGACATCTTAATGACATTAGAAATTCCTTCGAAGAAATTAAGAGACTACTTATGTATGCCGATATGCTTAAAACCATGCTGCTGCTCTGCACGATTATTATTTTAACATCATTTTAACATCATTTTAACAACAAGAGATTATTTTATCTTCGTTTTTTCCTAATGGAACCTAGAAAAACGCATGCGCCTTATTTTCCATTTCTTTTTTCATTGATCGTCAACGACAACAATTATATTATAATTCGATATTTTAGTCTTCTTTGCTAGCAGCTGCAATTGTAAACTTTAGAAAATTCCGAAAAAATAACATATCGCTCTGATTTTTGTCTCTCGACCGTTATATCGTTTCTCTAAAATATGTTAGAACGAATATACATATAATATATTATTATTTATAATGAATTAATCGAATGATTTAAACGAAGCATGATAAGAATATATAGAAGATAAGAAACACGAGAGAGATTCAGTTATGTTTCTGTATCAGAGGCGGAACTACACATACACACTCACTCACACACACACACACACACACACACACACACACACACACACANCACACACACACACACACACACACACACACACACACACACACACACACACACACACACACACACACACACCCCGGGCGCAAAATATAATTTCGCAAAACCGAGTAAAAAAATAAACAACTTATATTAATATTGATTAAAATGAACAATTTATCTTCTGTTCGTTTTTTTTTTTTTTTTGTGTATATGTACTTTTAATCAATAATAATTTGAAGAAACGCGTTGCGGGGTCCTACGGTATTGCGGTTCCGTCCCTGTTCTGTATATGCGTAGAAAAAGAAGAAAGAAGAAAAGAAAGAAAAGAAAAAAAAGAATAAAAAAAACAACTAAGCGCATGTTATTTTTATAGAATATACCTATAACGTAGTCATTTTTTGCCTCCGGATTTTCATTAGAATTCGTGCTAAAAGTGCAAACGTTGTAGCTAGATTTTCTATGTAAAACGAATCGAATTAACGAAAGAGTTGACCTATATCAATCAAATCTTGGATAAACAAGAGGTTTTTTATGCTCCCAATGGGGAGGAGCATCGTTTATATTTTATTTTAAGATGATGAACTAATTGTTTTATTAGTATTAGAATTTATTTAGAAATAAATACAAACTACAAGAAGGTGAAAAGATGAATGAAGGAAGGGACTCGTAAGCAAATTAAGAAATAATCGAAGAATGTTGGAAAAGAAGATCCTTTTTAAAAACGCACCGCTTTTTGCAAGAAATACAATAAATAAATGAAAATTGCAAAATTCATGTATTCACCGGCGATGCTTTTATCCAAAAGAATCAGAAAACATCCGAAAAATGATGGAAAGAATTGTCAACCGATGTGTTGTGTCGCGTCAGAGATAAAACGTTAACGCGAGTTAACCACCACTCTATTCGCAACGTCAGTCAATAATTGACAACGCATGAGATAATTAATTATTTATTTTCTTATTTCACCTTATCCCACCTACCACCACATATGGTCCTTCTTTCAAACAAGAAAGAAAGAAAGAAAGAAAGAAAGAAAGAAAGAAAGTACGAGGATAGAAATTTGACGACAAAAACTAATAGAAGAAATGTCAGGATATTTATTTAATAATTGCTATCCAAAAATATATGAATATAACGATAAAAGAAAAAGGACTATATATAATAAGTAGTTGGTAGATAGTTAAGACGCCTTTGACATTCACATCCGTCGTTCTTCTTAAACTTTTAATATTCACAAAATGATGTTTCAATTAGAGAGTATCTTACAATCAATTTTGTTCACTGGATAAACTCTGAGACATATTCCGTATATTGATTTTCATTTTTCATACTATTTCACAATAGCACGAAATATTATTTTACCTAATCAGTTAACTGTTAAGGCGGCCTTTTTTCAATAGTATCTACCTAAATGAAACGATTATGTGACAAAAGACTAATTCAATAGCAGAAAATCTTTATTTTCTAACGTTTCAAAATTCAAATCATCATCTACAAAATGTAATTAAATGCGCGTCAAGCACGTGTCAGCAATATATATTAACAATAAAGAACGTGCAGTTAAATAATAACAAATAGTTGAACAATTTTTATTGAGTTATATTTCAGATAAATTGATACAATTGATACAACTTTCGATGAATTCCTGCAAATCAAGAAATTGTATAAAATATGAAAAAACATTTTTTTAGCAAATGACTCTCATTGTTTTTTTGAAGAACAACGGATCCATTGTAACATATTGACACAATGTTTTCGAAGAATTGTTAAAAAAAAAAAAAAAACATCGTTTAATTAATCGATTACGTCAAATATTTCATGCAATAAGAATATTATACCAAATGAAAATATATCTCTTTAATCTAGGATTGTATCGCAGGAAATAATTTTAAATGAGTCGTCCACAAAGAAACGATGATTTTTTTTCTTCTTCTCGAAGAATAATATTACGATATATATGGAAGAAGACAACACACGACGCGTAACAATATGCTGTCCGTGAAAAAATTTCAAGGCTGTGTGGTCAATAAAAATAACATTCCAAAATATAGTCCTTTTATTATTATTTTCTTTTTTCGTGTCTCCAACACGAATACATACATTCGATAGTACATATTTATTATTTTTAAATAACAATACAAAACATTTCTATAGACAATTATCAACGAAACAAAACTAAACAAAACAAAACAAAACAAAACAAAACACACGTAAGAGTAAACGGTAACGGTTTAGAGGTGAAGATTTTCATTCTCCTTCCGTCGTTCGACGCGTCAACATCTACTACCACCACAAGGTAACAAGATATTAGGGTATTAAATTATTCAATCATTTTATTTCTAACAGCGGCGGAATATAACGATTAATTTAATTTTATACAAAGTGTTTTATTACCAAGGATTGTAGAAAAATTGATTTACTTTATAGATTACTCTTCCTTCATTTATTACATTTTATTGTTATATGTATTTGTTGTTATCATAAAATATCTTTTAATACGTGTCGTCTTGCCTTCGAAAATGATTTACAGGAAATATTGCTTCATATTCTTTGGTATGTTTTAACTTTCCAAAAGATAATTTATTTCAAAACTTTGGTCTTTTTTTTTTTTTTTTATTTATGTTTAGTGAAATTCATCGATTTGACAATTAAACGACTCGTTTATCAATCATTATTTAACAATATATTACTTATTATCATATAATATTATAAAAGAAAATAAATGTTGTAAGTTTTATATAATTAGCTTAAGAAGAAAATATTCTTCGATAGATAACAGGTGTCATCATAGAAATTCATCGTAGATTAACAAAAATGCATCAAAGGGAATGTCAAAAATATATTACAACAAGTTAAATAAAATTGATATTAATGTATAAATATATATTTAACATATTATTAAATTAGGTCTTTCTGGAATCATTTAATTAGATAATAAACCTAAATGCTCTATAGAATAGTAATATTTCATCTTAATCTTCTCCTCTTCTTCTTCTTCTTCTTCTTTTATAATACTCCTTAGTACTATAATTATCAAATAAATATGGCCATTATAAAATATGTTCTCTCAATTAATAAATGCCATTGTACGATAACTAATCGAATGTATTGTATTATAAAATGTAATTGATATCCTAATCAAATATTGAGTATAAATTTTTATATATATATATACATATATATATATATATATAAATTTGTATTATAAAATTGTTACTTTTTTGTAGGTAAAAAATAGACTGCGTTTAAACAATAAGAAAAATGTACATCAACAATGGTAGAGCCAAGTTATCAATTTGATCGGTTTTAGATTCGATAAAAGAAATTGCAACAACAGATGATATACTTCTTAATAACCACTGGACGTCGATATACCCTAATTAAAAAATGTAATATAATTATAATTATTTCAGAGACTGAAAAACAAAAACAAAAAGATAAAAAGAGATAGGAATATATATTAAAAAAAAAAAAAACAAAAAAACAAAAAATACATACTCATAAAAATAAGAAGGGAAATCGTTGCAAGCTGACTAGTAATACAGCCAAGCGTTCCTTCCACAGATTTTTCTAAACCTGGCCATTTATGTTTTCCCCATTTACTACCAAAATAACTAGCAGCTGTATCACCTATGCCTACGGTCAATAACCCACTAAGAAGAACAAATAGCGAAGCATTATTAGCTGGCATCCACAATGGAAATGAAAGACCAAAGAGTAAATACAATGGTGTCAGCGATAATAAATGATCTTTTTCGTCCACAAATATATTAAAACCTTGTTGTAGCATATTTCCTAAAGGTGATACTTTCAATATCCTTGTTAACTAAAATTTGGTTAAAAATATGGCTTTTATATCACTTCGATAAATATTAAAATATCAAGTATCGTTACCTCCAACAGTATAAATATTCCTGCTATAACACCACTTCCAAGATATAATAATGTAGGATCATACAAAAGTCCAGGAACATAAACAAACACAGCTACAATGTGAAAATATTTTCTAGTAGATGACGTAGCTGGAACACCGGATAGCATTTGAAATATTATCATTAATACAGAACATAACAAACAAATTGTCCAATATATTATCAATGAAATCTGAAAATATAACATTGATGTTTAATATTAAATGTTCGAATCATAATTATATATAAATATATAAGTATATAGAAGAAAACTTACTCTGTGCGTTTTGTTAAGGATATAAAATAATATCCATGATAAAGGATTTTGATCGATAAGTACGTATAATAATGGTACAACGAGTAGAAAGAAGATACCTAGTACCATTGCATAAAAGTATCGAGGAAAACGTAGTATCAATAAGTTTTTACATAATATACAAATCGATAAAACATATAATATACCAATCTACAATATTAGAAAATAACAAAGATACGATTACTTTTGTTCTCGTATAATTAACGATGGAATAATCATGATATTTTAATTCAAATATTACCTGTAATATAACTGTTACAATATCATCATTATGGATTGGTGGTAAATGATATCTTAATGGTATATTGGTAGCAACTGACAATAGGAATAAAATGAATCCATGCGCAACGACCATTGCTTCACCGATTGTAAAACAACCGGGGCAATAAGACATTAATTGTAAGATGCCCCAGGTGCCTAAACTTCCAACGCTTAATCCCCATATTACACTCGTCAGCAATCCTGCACTTGTGTAATAATTTCAAAATATGTGAAATAATTAACATGAGATATTTCTCTATCTATCTATCTATCTATCTATGGGATAAATATTAAAATAACATATTAATTACCCCATACCTTTGTTTGCCATAAAAAGATATAGCATAGATGTTACAATCGCTGGTAGAAAATAAATAACATGAAAATCTTTAATCGCACTTTTTCCTATACAAAGTCTATACAGCCGTATGTAAAGAGATAAACTACTAACAAGTAATCCAAAACCTGTTAATCCTATTACCAAACATATTTCTGAATAACTATTACTATCGTTTAATAACGTTAATGCTGCGCTCAATCCTATTAAACTTCCAAGCCATAATCCACAGCTTGCTTTGGATCTAAACAAAAATATCTTTTATTATACAAAATGAAATTCATAATAAGCAACCATAAGATATACCCATAGAGATTATTAACAAGTGAAACAATAATAGGCAAATTTGTACATAGATTTTTTTGTTAAACAAATCTCATTCAAATTTATATTGAAATGGTTATGTATGGTTACATTAAAAATATAAATAAACAATCGCGTTAATACGTTCATACGTACCGATGAACTATGCCATTTATTTTCAAATTTTGTAATATTTTCTTTTCGATATTCTCATATGTATTAAATAATAACATTTTGATTTATTTTTAATTAATCAAACTTAACCTTCAAATCATAAATGACCACAAATTCTCGCGCACTTTCACTTTTCATATGGAAAAACTAAATGATCAGTCGAAAGGTCAAATCTTTTTGTTACGATATACGTTAGCCGTACCTACGTCATCTACGAGTATATAATGTTTAAAAGGCTCATGTATACACTTATCAAGTTTCTTCTAATGACATTCATATATGGGATAAACACATAGACAAGATTACATTTTTCTGTTGTCACACCTGTTACGACTGGCGGCGTGTCCGGCATTACAAGTAAACACATGTTCTTTCTATGATGACATTTTCCTATTTAAATAATATTTAAATATTCATCTATATGAGTTAGGAATGGTAATCAAAAATAAAACGAGAGGTTAAATAAAATCAAACTATTAAGTATATATATATATATCTATATATAAAAAAAAAAAACGTTTTTAATATGCCAAGTGATTTATTTATCTACTTGGGATATCAAATAATTTTACATGTGTCGGCATGCGTTCTTTAATGTTTTTTTTTTTTTTTTGCTACAATCAACATAGATTAGTTTGTTCGTTTATTTACGCTTTAATAATATCGTCAGTATTTATAAAAATGAACGAATTATCAATATCTATAACGTTCTATAATTTTTTTCTTTACTTTTTTTTTAAATATATTATAGATCTCTTATAATATGTTGTATTTTTAGTGGAGAAATATCATGCTACAACGACGTTGTTAGTATTTTTTTTTTTTTGGTCTTTTTCTTTTTCTTTTAACTCTGTCACCACGTTAAATAAAAAATATTTTATTTCAATGTAATCCCATGAATCTAACCAACTACTTGAATAACTAAATACATGATCAAACTGTTAAATTTGCTTTCGCAAATGCAATAAGACCATTTGTTGATGAATCGTGAGTGGTAATTTTATCAGCACTGCGAAGCTCAGGTTCGATAGCTTTAGCCAACTGTTTGCCTAATTCAACGCTATAAAAAGAAGCAATATAAGATATTAACAAGAAAAAGAAATTGTTTCAATTTGTTAATAATTCAATAGTTATTTAGTACTCACCCCCACTGATCGTATGAATTAATATCCCAAATCATACCTTGTACAAATATTTTATGTTCGTACATTGCTAAAAAAATATATTCAAACAAGTTGTAATCAAAAACGAGAATGTCTATGCACTATTAATGGAAAATCTTGAAAAGTGATACTAACCAATTAAAGCACCAAGAACAAAAGGTGTAAGTTTTTTAACCATAATGCTATTAGTCGGTCTATTACCCTCGAATATTTTATGAGGTAATAATGAATTAACTTGTTCCGCGTTTAGGCCAGATTTTTCTAATTCACTTTTAGCTTCGTCTTGATTTTTGCCTTTCATTAAAGCTTCCGTTTGTGCAAAGAAGTTTGATAATAAAATTTCATGATGCAATGTACCTTGAACCTATTAATAAATACAACACAACAATAACGTATTATAATATATTCGTCGCATTGAACCATACTTTCATTATCATTCATTTTCATTCATTTTCTAAAGCTATCAAATCTACCTTATTATGAGATTGTACAGGAATTATAAAATCTGCAGGTACGAGTCTTGTACCCTGATGAAGAAGTTGATAAAATGCATGCTGACCATTTGTTCCCGGTTCTCCCCATACAATTGGACCTTTAAAGAGATAAGATATTATTATTATTATTATACATTAGTTAAGGTTCGACCAATAAAATACATATTTCATATCATCATCATCATCATAATATAATTACCAGTAGAATAATTAACTTTCTTGCCAGATCGAGTAACAAATTTTCCATTACTTTCCATGTCACCTTGTTGAAAATATGCAGCAAATCTGTGCAAGTACTGATCATATGGCAACAATGCATGTGTCTCTGCGTTATAAAAATTGTGATACCATATGCCGAGAAGTGCAAGAATAACAGGTGCCTGCGTATTGTTAAACATATCTATAAATAATATTTCGAACATATTAAGAAAATTCGTGAATTATTTGAAGTACATTTTTCTCTAATGGAGCTGTAGAAAAATGCTGATCCATAAAATGCGCTCCGCTAAGTAGTTTCTCAAAATTTTCAAAACCAATGGACAAGCAGATAGATAAACCGATAGCTGACCACAATGAATATCGTCCGCCAACCCAGTCCCAAAATCCAAACATATTCTTTTCATCGATACCAAATTCCTTCACTTTTTGTGTATTAGTGGATAGAGCAACAAAATGGGAGGCAACGGCTGCTTCCTAAACAGTAAAATAACACCAACTATAAGTACTATAATACTTATTAATATATGTATGTAGTCTGTGTACAATTTACTTACATTTTTTAATGATTCTAATAACCACAATTTAGCTGAAGTTGCATTAGTGATTGTTTCTTGAGTAGTGAATGTTTTAGATGCTATTATAAACAGAGTAGTTTCTGGATTTAATTTTTTCAAAGTTTCTGCAATATGAGTTCCATCGATGTTACTAACAAAATGAATTCGTGGTCCAATATGATAGGGTTTTAAGGCCTCTGTTACCATCAGAGGACCCTATTTCAAAAAAATCTATTATTTTAATATACTTGTATGTTATTAAAGATTACTTATATTTAATAAATTATTTCAAATTACCAAATCAGAGCCACCAATTCCAATATTGACAACATCTTCAATAGGTTTGCCTGTAAAGCCTTTCCATTTTTTACATATTATCTAGAATAAGAAGAAAAAGATATTTTCCATTAGATTTTACTCAGATATCTTATCATATCGTCGAATAACAAATAAACGTGATCAAATATCTTGCCTCGTCAGTAAATTGTTTCATGTGTTCTAAAACTGCATTCACTTCTGGCATAACATCTTTACCATCGAGCAAGATGGGAGTATTACTTCTATTGCGTAAAGCTATATGCAAAACTGCTCTGTTTTCGGTAAAATTGATCTTTTCTCCTGAGAACATTGCATTTCGTGCCTCTTCGATTTGTCTTGCACGGGCCTAAATGAAATATCAAAAATATCATTATTTATTGACATTAACATTAATAGTATTCTAAATATCACCTATTTATCATATAAAAGTTATGGATTGTATACTGTCCCAAGCCCCCAGATAAAGGGGCAACAATTTGAAGCCGAGGTTAGCAACCAATCCTCAGTAAAAAAAAAAATAATCACTCTCAGAACTAAGAAAATAGACTCTTTAGGTTGTTTCATTAGGGATAACAGGACGTAATCCTATGGAGAAGAAGAAAAAGATCATACCAAATTGAGTAATAAATCAAGTATCTCCTTTGTAATTCTGTTCTTAGAGTAGTCGAGTAAAATGATTCCATCTTGCGGAGTAGAAATTTCTAAACTGAAAAAAAAAAAACAAAGTACACAAAAATTAATCAAATATTATAAAAGTACATAATTATAAGATAACTTACAGGCCAATAATTTCAATTATGTCAGTTTTACATAATTATATATTACTAACTTTTAATACTGCTATTTTTTAGATAAAAAAAATAAAAGAGATATTTAAATAACAATGAAGTAATGACACTGCATTAACATATAATTAAGTATTTTACTAAGTTATATCTAAAAATCTTTGAAGGGTCATGCCAAGGTCATATGGCAAGAATATGACTGCACCTACCTGAAATTCTGAAAACGATTAGGATCCTGTTTAAATAAATTATATATATTAATTTGAGATCCTGTGCTGTTGAAAGTTTCTTGTAATTTAACCCAAGCAGGTTCACTTGTTAATTCTGATTTAGGTTTCATATTTGATTTAAGAAAGCCGCGCCGCCGTTTTTTTAATTCGATTTACTCGCCCTCTCTTCAATATATCTTCCACGTTTCTGAGGTTACTGATACTATCTTGCTCTCTATCACAATGTGATAGTAGTAACTAATAATTGTGTACTCAAACGTCATTTCAAATCGAACAAATTCATTGGCTAGAAATATTGGAAATTAGATGGTGAGAACCAATGATATATTTTAAAATCTTCACAGAAAAGCAGATGGCATTGCAATAGCAGCAATTTCTTCTTTTTTTTCTTTTTTTTCTTTTTTTTTCTTTTTTTTTTAAATTAACAATTAGGTAACAAGAGAAACATCTTAGACTAAACAAAATGAAAGAAAAAACAAAATTCTTTATTCTAATATAAGACAATTGTAATATTGTCATAATGTAATATGATCGCCATCTTGGCAAGCCATTTTCATATACGCGCCAAATTTAAAAAAATACATTAATCCAAAATGAATTTTTTACATTGTATACTTTTTGATGAATATATAATCATTAAATTATACAAATCGATCATTTTAAAAGTTATATTGAATATACTTTCCTCATTATTTAACCATAAATAACATTTAAATAAAAATATTTAGATAATTAAGTATCGAACTGACTTTCGTTGTATGGAACTACTAAAATGAATGTTGACCTTTATAAACCTTTGATTCCCTTCTTAATCTTTGTATTCTAAGGAGAAAACTAAATGGTACACATATTTCAATCGTATATCGAAAATTCTAGGACTTGTGATTATATTGTGATTATTAGTTAATGAAATTAAACAAATAGTTTGATTAATATAATAAACAATCACACGGTATCTACCTGATCTTATCGAAAGAAAATTCTTTTCAGTAAAACGTAGAAATGGTAATGTTGTTATAATTGTTAGTGAAATCAACTCTCTCTGTTGTGTGTGTGTGTGTGTGTGTGTGTGTGTTTATATTGTTCATATATTTATGTTATTATTAAGAATATAATTTTTCATTAAACCATCGTTCGCGTTAAGATTTTATTTATTTATTTATTTAATTTTCTTTTTACTTTACTCTATACTTTGTATTATAATATATTTAATATATTTCTAAATATAATTACAAACTTGTCCTTGTATTTGAAAATTGAGGTATCCAAGGTTATAAAATTTATTATAATATATTGTTTTCACTAAGAATTAAATATTGATTTCAGTCACATACAATATTACTCGTGCAGCCAGGCAACCGACCTGAAACAAGAACATTTTCAGATTACGAAAGTGTCAACGAGTGCATGGAAGGTAAAAAATCCTCAATTATTTGATATTTATTATTCTTATATATAGTTGGTATAAAAGAATTTTGTTAAAAAACATTATTCCTATTTACTGCAAGTAATATTATGAAATATGTTATTGTATATGAGGTCAATTTTGTTTACATGACGTCAATGTCTTCAATGAAATATTGCGCGCATATATGTTTAATTTAAATTACATATATTTAATAAGATCCACAAAACTATTGATGATTCTTACGTGTGAACTTCTTACGTGTATAGGTGTATGTAAAATTTATGAGGAACATTTGAAAAAAAGAAATCCAAATACACCAACAATCACATATGATATTAGCCAGTTATTTGATTTTGTTGATCAACTGACAGACATATCATGTTTGGTATATCAAAAATCTACAAACACTTATGCCCCGTATAATAAGGATTGGATCAAAGAAAAAATCTATGTTTTGTTACGTAGAGCTGCTGGTGGTCATATCGAGTAATGCTATAACTACTATAGATATAATTCTCCAAGTAACTCATAAGATAAATTAATTTTAAATACTATTGTATACTACTGTTTCTATCAATAAATATATGAATAACTATTATTTTCTTATTTTTAAATGTTAAGATTATCATAAGCTCCTGCATAACGTTTAAGATATATGTATCCGTATACGTATTATTATTGATATTTGCAAATGTATGTATATATTATTATTGTAATACAATTATTGTGTGTGATTCTATCATCACAATGCGTAGACTCCTCGTTGCTTTGTTCCATGATTAATGGAACGTAATAAACGTAATGACAAATGGCGTAAGTTACCAATAAAGTAAAGAACATTTATATTTCGATAGGCGAATATTTTTTTCTCTAGGTATCATATATTTATTTCTAAAATAACCAATTAATTCTGCAAGATTTTTATCTCCAATTATATATATATATAAAAGAAAATATGTCATAAATTATCTGTAGTATAGCATATATTAAAAAATGATAAAACTAATTTGATTCGTTTAATCTCCAATTATAAATATATATGTTATAATAAAAATCATGTAGATGATAACCTATACAAATATATCAGTGTGATTAATTATAGCTAAAATAAACTTGTGTATGTTATTTTGTTGTAATATATATATATATATATATATATATATATATATATATATGCAGTGATGAACAAAGCTGAAAAACATTCATTCCTATGTATAATAATTGCATATATATAATAGTATATATACAATATAGCATGTATATATAACTGGTTAGAATAAAATAAATGAATTGCGCATGCGTACTAAACTTGATCGTAATGAAACTATATTGCAACGAATAATCAGTTAATTTATCAAAGACATTATTAATTTATTGCTACTTTTCTGTATTATTTTGATACAAAAAGTCATCTAGAATGATAAATATATCATTTGTAAAAATAGATATATATATATATATATATATATAAAAATATAATGCGCATGTTTTGTTTCTTGGAATTGAGTACTGTGAATATTTCTTGTTGATAATAAATTACTACTACCAATAATTATATTATGTGTGTGCATATATGTATGTACATATCATGTAATTTGTAAAATATATACATATATAGGAACATATATACGCATACATACGCATATAAATGTATGGGATGTAAGTTGCACACTTTAGAATACGCGCGGTAGGTTACAATATATACAGTGCAGATTATGATAGAATGCATTGAAAGTTGCATTCATGTAATAGATATCACATGTATGCTATTGCATTAGTCCTTTTGTAACTATGCCAGTGCCATTGACGATCAGCTGTCCAAGTTCTGGAATTTAAACATATTGCGTTTGCAAAGCGGAAACTCGTTCGGAAATCAAATGTAGTTATATAAGATTACAGTTGAGAGAAATGAATCAGTCTTCTTGCAGTGCGTTTACGAAGATCAATTATATATTTCGATAATATACGCGTTTATTATTTTCGTATATTCTAAAGGGGGGAGCATTTAAAGTGTCACGATAATATTTCCAACGTCGCTGCCTGTCACCGTCTGTCTCTTTGTATTATTATTTTTGTTCTATCTTTCTTTTTTTCTTTCCTTTCTTTGTATCGCATCAAATAATTGTAAATAATTCTTTATTTGTTTAATATTATACAATATTCAAATTATTCATTTAATAATTCAAATATTCGTTTTTGTTTGTTTGTTTGTTTGTTTTTTCAACTCATTTTATAAAGTGTTTCCAAAATCGTAAGTAACTTAATATTGTACTTGAGTGCTATTATTATTTCTCGTTGAAATGCATTGTTCTGTTTAAATGCACATACTTAAATATATATATATATACATATACATATATTTTTGTATATTTTGTTGTTGTTGTTGTTTGAAATAATAGAGGGTTTTGAAAGGCTTACAACAGCGTTAATAAAGAATGTCCAGTAATCCTATTGCAGTAGATCCATTCAGTGAAGTTGCTTTGGAACTAGATATTTGTGAAGGTATTAAATTGTATTATTGTATAATTATAATGTTAAATGATAATGGCAAGAATGAAATATTTAATTAAATATTAAAATGTGCTATGATTATTATTATTAAAGGGAATGGAGATGTGGATAACGAGCAAAGTACACAAAGTACGCAAAGTGCACAAAGTACAAAAGAAGATACTAAAAGTACAATTAATGAACCAACTTATGCCGAACCGCTTACACCTGAAGAAATACGTTGGTTTTACAAAGGCGGAGTCGATAAGAGATGGGTCGAGTTTTGTGGATATGATAGTTTGAGAATAGAAATGGCTTGGCAAGAGAGACAAAGTCTTCTTAGTAAAAATGATGGTAAAAGTCATGAATTGCCACCTGCTGAGAAAGTCGTCGTTAGAGGAGGAATGTACGATACGGAAATAGATAATATGAAATGTGTCTCTATATATTGGCCAGGTACTGATTTTTATGATTTTTATGATTTTTACGATTCTTATGATTCTTATGATTTTTATTTAACAATTATTTCATCACTTTATATTTAATACGTATTTCTGTCGAATAATATTTTTAGATAGTCTGTGTTGTGTAAGTATTTACAAGATAATATAACATCCTTGATAATATAACATATGTGGGAACGGCGAAGAGGAAGAAATAGTAAATATTTTACTAGTTTCAATCATTTTTCCAATATCTTATTTTCATCTAAATAATTCAATAGTGAATAATACATTTGAATAATCTTTATTTGTATAAGAAGACTGCTAATAATTGACTACTACATTGTATCCAGTTTTACGTATCCATAAACATTGAGAATCATGGAATAATAATTGAGAATAAATGCCAACATTGAGCAGGTGTAAGCATACATATCAATTCAAACAGTGAAATATATATATCTTTTTTCTTATATCCTGTATATTTTTATATGTTATGTATGTTTTATGAAACAATTAAGGATCCATAATCTATGGATCTCAGTATTCTTCATTTTATGATTGTTTTTCTTTTTTTTTTTTTTTTTTGCATCATCTTGTTTATTATTATAATTGTTGTATATATAATCTTTCATAATCTCTTCACGAGTATCTAATGCTATATGATCTATTTTTCTTCTAGTTTATCATAGCCAATTTCCTTTTACTGATCGAGCAATAGCACAACAGTAAGAGGAAATAAATTTCTCTAAATCATTTGTATGCACATTGTACATATACCATGAATGCCAATCTACGTTTATGATATATTTGACATATATGACATATTTAGACTACCTCCTTGTCGTTACCACACAATTTTCTTTACTCAATACACACTTGTAGAAAAACTGTATATTCTCTAACTCTTCTTGTTAATATCATTCATTTTCATTTATTTTCTACCTCGATATATATATAATATTATGTATTTTAATTTGATACGAGAAATTAATTATATTAGATTTTAATTAATAGGCGAAGAATGGGAAATAATGAGAGGTACGTGGTATTACGATGGTAGTTGGATACCATTGGAAATAGAACATTCTAAAGTAATAGAAGAAGTTCATTTAAAATTGTTTCCAAAACCATCTTCGGAACCGAATAAATCAACACCTGAAACAAATGCCTCTTCTTATTCATATAAAGGTATCAATTATTTTTCATATTAACTTTTAGGCTTTTTGAAGATCTTTACTGGAGATCATTTTGAAAATATTGATCAATACATTAATGTTTCAGTATTGCATACGGAATGTTTTCCAGAATTTCACGTCGACTGGCATTCAATAGATTATGTCGCATTATACAGTGAATATACAACAAGTAAATTAATGCGTAGCGTTACGTCGAAATTGGGCTTGCCTAAAAGTAATTACTTTTTCATAATTACTACTAATCATTTTGATAAATATTTATTTATATACTTAAGTGTGCAATGAACATTCTAGCCACAGGATATCGAATAAAAAGAGGATATAAAGTTCCTGCCATAATGGAAGATAAACCACAAGATATTGATCACTTAGTATTTGTTGTTCATGGAATTGGTCAAAAGAGAGATACTGGAAAAATAATACGCAATACAACATCGTAAGATTTAAAATTTAAATTATATAATTTTCTTAATAAATCTTACAACTATCATAACATCATATTATAAATGATTAATTAAATGATTTCTTTTTAAATAGATTCAGAGAATGCATAGAACGATTGAAACAACGTTTCTTTCCACACTCAAATTACAGGGTTGAATTTTTCCCCGTTGAATGGAGATCATCTTTGAAACTCGACGGAGGTAAGCACAATTGGTTAATAAGGTCTAATAAGGTCTAATAAGAAAGCAATAAATTATACGGATTATTATTAATATATTTGTTGTTTATATATACAACATATTTTCCACAGATATAGTTGAAGCTATCACACCATACAGCGTTTTAAGTATTCGTCATCTATTAAATACGTCAGCAATGGATATACTTTATTATACAAGTCCTCTTTATGGTGGAGAAGTAAGAGCTGGATTACAAAAAGAATTGAATAGATTATATTTCATGTTTACTAGCAGACATCCTGACTGGAAAGGCAAAGTTTCAATTTTGGCACATTCGTTAGGCTGCGTCATCGTATATGATATAGTTACAGGGTGGATGAGTCCAGACACAAGACCTCCGTCTCCCGATCAAGAAGTATTACTGCAAGGTTTACAATTTCCTGTACGTGATTTTAACCATTATATATATATATATTATAATATTTCTACAAAATAGAAATATTAGTTATGACATATTTTCTTATTTACAGATTGAGAACTTATTTTGTCTGGGTTCTCCTTTATCAGTGTTTTTAGCATTACGTACACGTACACCGTCCAATAGATTAGATGTAATGCCTCAAGGTCTCTGTAAAAGGTTTTATAATATATTTCACTGGTCTGATCCTGTAGCATATCGTATGGAACCGCTTTTGGAAAGAGGATATAGTAAAATTGAGCCAGTTGTTATACCACCGTATGGAGGAGGAGTTGATGAATTACAAATAGAACCCTCGTCAATATTTAACGCAGATCAAAATCTATCTCCAACTGGTGTGTGTGTGTGTGTTGTGTGTGTGTGTGTGTGTGTACAAAAATTTGAACAAAAATTGGAATGAGCATTTTGTTTTTTATATTAATAGAGACTGAGGAAAGAGAAGATAGTCCAGTGGACGTGTCCAATCGTAATACAGAAAAAGGATGGAGTCTTTGGGGTTTAGTTAGAGCAGGTTGGAATGTTAAAGAAGGATCATCTTCACCAACACCTGACTCAAATCCACCAATCCGTCCAGGACAAGGTATTTTTTTATTCCCATTTATAAATAATAATTTGAATTGGTCTAATATATTTACATATATATATATATATATATATTGAATAACATTTTGTATATTCATTAGAGCTAACGCAACGTTTGGATTACGTTTTACGAGCAGTTGGATTAGGTAGAAATTATTTATATGCAGTAGTAGCTCATACTAGATATTGGAGTAACGATGATGTGGCTTATTTTGTTCTAACAAGACTATTTCCAACATTAGAAGCATGATGGCAATATCATTGCTTGAAGCTGAATTTAAACAGATTTTATTCAATTTACTAGTCGATTTTGCTGGCCTTTTATACCTGATATAAAAACTAGGCCTACCACTAAAAAACAATCTGTGATAATGGAAAAAAAACGATACAATAACAATATAAAATCTATCAATATAAAATTCATGAGAGAGATTTTATATAATAATTCATGCAGTTCAATATTAATACGGTCAAGGTTTTGCAGATCAAATCAATTATATAGTTGTGTGTATGTATGTATGTATGTATGTATGTTGTATGTATGTATGCGCGCGCGTATGTAAAGAAAGAGGCGCACGTGTGCGCGCGTGCATCATACAAATGTTAAATTTGTATATTACTTCATACTGTAAGAAGTAAGTAAGATATGTAATATATGTGTATTATAATAATATAATGAATAATACACGATAATACACGTATATTACTTTTATCTTGAAAAATGCCTCTTTTTATAACTTATCGTAAATAAGTTTTATTTGTTGTGTTTAATAAGCATATAGTTTATAATAGATATTTATTTAAGTATTTAATCATATAAAAATTGTTAAGACCAAAAAAACACACACGTACATTAATTGATGATAAAAATAATGGTAGTAATCTTCCTTTAAAGTAAGCCATTAAAAGTTAAGTTTTTATTTGATGTCAGTACAATCTCCCACTTTAAGGACAATGATTATCACTCTCCTCCGTTCATAAATTGTTTTATTTTTTTGTTCAAATTCTTACTCACACACTGATCATGCTTCTTTTAGTTATTTACAATTGGAATTGTATTAATCTACGATGATTATAAGCTAAGAAGCATGATGAGACGCAGTGGGATTTAAAGGAAATCATATCACAATAAAATTTGAGAAAAGCTATAATATATTCAATTGAAATGTAATATTTCCTGTGATGGTATGCGTTGTGCGTATGTGTGTTGTATATACACAGTGGCCCAGTAATCATGGTACAACCAGGAAAGAACTGACTCTTCTTTAAATAATAAATTGAAATTGTGAAATAACATCTTTTTATATACATTTTCACATTTTCTTTTCAAGATAATCAATCAATATGGAATCCTTTGTTCTTATATCAATCTCGTATGAGATTATTGTAATTACAGTGTGAGAGACAACAACAACAACAACAACAACAACAACATAATAGTGCATAATAATAGTATTATTAAAATATAACAAAGAAAAACCAAAAATTTGAAATTGTCCTTGTATTCCAAATGAAGTTCATTCGTTGTATAGACAATTTGGTGGTTTGGACGATTAAAAGGAAACGGCTGATGAGTATAATTAGCCAATTAAACAAAATGACCAACTTAAAGAAAAACATGCAATTAATTATTCATTATTTGCATGTGCGCGCGCGTATATCATTGATTTTTTGATCACAGCTTTTTTAATATAATCTTATTGAAAATTATAATAAGTAAATAGATGATAAAGTTAATCGCGATTCTATGAAATAATAATATATAAGATAAATTTAATGTATTGACTGCAAGGGAACAGAGTATTCTTTTATAGAAAGAAAAATTCAAACAGTAAAATGTAATCGGTTGATGAAATCAAAAAAGAACAACAAAAAAAGAAAGAAGAACTTTATTTAATATTTATTATAGCATAATTTGTTACTCGTATTAAAATTGGAAACGTTATGTAATGCTATTAATCTTATTCCAATGTTACCACGTTCAAATTTTATCTTTGCAAATACTTATTATAACAATAATAAGTCATTTATAAACGTAATATATATATATATATATCAATTAATATTGTAAAAGAATATACGTGACCAAGATTGAAAATATATATATAATATATATTTGGAGTATCATATCAAAAGAATTAAATATATATTTATATATATTTTGTTTTTATTCCCTTATGCAGTTACTACAAAAACAAAAAAATAAAAAAAAAACAAACAAAAAGAAAAAAGCGAACATGAAAGTATTTACCAAACATATATGCAAATATGTTAATGTAAATTAAGTTTATAGTATTCATTTATTTTAATTTATTCTCTTATTATTTTACACATTTAACGACGTCAGCTTTGCATTACTGTGAGATACTTTTTATACTGAAATTACTATGTAAGCAGTTAGACACAACAATAGATGTGTTTTAAATTTGGAAAGATGTATTTAAAGGTGTTACAATAATTGTCAAGTCATAAACAAGCAGCAATGCGAGTGCCAGCGTTCAATGTGTTTTAAAATACTTGAGATTTTATTTAGTTGTTACCCCCCCTCCCTCCCCGGGAATCACCTTAACAATAAAATACATTTGATTTTATTTGAAGAAAAAGTATAGAAAATCGTGCATGTATGTATGATAAATAATATTACGCAATAACTGTTTTCGAATTGAACATTTAATTAAGTACACGCCGTAGTATTATGACAATAAAATAAAGATGATAAAATTACTTTCATATCACATTTCATAATTCATATAGTCAGCAGGTACGCAGGAACATGTATATTAAATTAGATAATACAAGATAATAAGATAATCGCATTGAACATGTACGATAAAACAGCAGATATATTTGAAAAAGGAGTATAATCATAGGAATTATCAATTACGAAACATAATAACGTGTTCCTACATACTTATATATTCATGATTACATGTTAATAAAACTAACGGCTAATTCTCTTTTCTCCTTTTAAATATGATACATATATTCTAATAGTTTAACTATATATAAGATAGTTTTTCCTACACAATCTATATAATTATCGATAATAATGTAATATATGATAGGAAATTTTGTAATACTATGTATTAGCGCTATATCAAAAGGAGTTTAACTTCGTTATGAATTATATGATTCTTTACTTACAATTAGTTTGCCATTAAATAAATAAAAGGCTATTTAATAAATGTAATATCTTATTAGAAAGATGAGACGCGCGACCCGTCATTCATAATATAATAAACATTTGAATAATTTTTTAGAAACCTTGTGCTTCCAATAAAAAAATACTTTTTCATGAAATTACATTGTATATAATAAATTGACATTGTATTTCATTTAATAATAATTTACACGTGCTAATTGACAATGCTTATTTAAGTATATCTTTGAAAATATTATTATGTTATAATAATTAGTTATGTGTCATATAATTAATCATGTATTCGAATAAGAAAAGTGCTGTGATCTATTATTTTTACTATCTTCGTGTACATTCAATTGTCATTTGAATAAAAATAAATTGAACATGTGCTCAATATCGCGCTAGATCGAATGGTGATATTAATTTTTTTTTCTTTTTTTTATAAAAATCGTAATAATGCATTAATATTATAATATCTCATTTTGATACATTATTAAGTCAGTTGTCAACCAATGTGACCGAAAATATTCCTTGTTGTATTTGAGGGATAACATAAAAGGAAAATTAAAATAAGTATTTATGTTTTTAAGGAAATAATGATGTATTTATTGTTAGCTAATTGGAAGTAGCTAAGTAGTTATAAAAGTCTGAAAAATCTGTTATTTGTAAAAGTTGGACAAAAAAATATCGAAAAGGAATAAAAGTATCATCAAAGAGTGATGAAATGGGAGAAACATATTAAATGCCATATAGTCAATAAGGGATAATAAGTAAATTATTTATAAAAAATGATTTCTTTGCATTCATTTTTAATCATTTAACAAAAATATATTGGAAAATCTGTATTTTATTATCGACTGGTATAATATATGCTGCCATCTAGCGTTACTAGCTATTACTTCATCTTACCGACTGGTAAAATATTTTTGCCATCTAGCAGTACTAGTTAAAACTTGTTCGGTGATTGTCACAACTAAAAAAACAAACATAACCTTTGAGTTAAAGAGAATCATTGCAGTTTTCTTGTTGCAGAAATTCAAATTTAACACAATACATCATAAAAGATATTAATTTTTTCCAAATAATAAATTCAAATGAAAAAAACAGAAGAAATGGATTATAAAAATGAGAGTGATGAAGAAAGTTGTTCTGGTACGAATTCATTAATCGTAAGTAAAAAGGAATTAAAATTGCGAGAAAATGAAGAGGATCAAGAAGTGGATAATAAAGATGTGAAAAAGGATGAAGAATGTTTAAATAGCGATAGTGATGATGATGCTGCTGACGATGATGATGGTAAAGAAAATAATGATGATCATATGAATGTCAATGAGGATAATGATAATGATAATGATAATGATGATGATGATGATGTTGGTGATGATGACGACGATGCCAATGAAGCAGAAATTAAAGCATTGGAGGCTTTGCTGGCAGAAAATCCTTACGATTACAGTAGTCATATCAAGTTGATTAAAAAGTTTCAAATGATGGGTGAACTTGAGCGTTTACGTAATGCAAGAGAAAACATGAGTTCAATGTATCCTTTGAGTTCAGAATTATGGCTATCATGGTTACGCGATGAAATGAAGTTAGCTGTAAGTAGCGAAGAAAAAGCAGAAGTTGTGAAACTCTGCGAAAGAGCTGTTAAAGATTATCTTTGTAAGTTGATAGACTTAGGATATCTATATTAGAGATATGTATAACGCATAAAAGTATGTAATTGTATGACAATTTGATGATTAGGTGTCCAAGTTTGGATGGAATATTTACAATTTAGTATTGGAAATATGGACAACGAAAAGGATGGAGTTAAAAATGTTCGTGCACTTTTTGAAAGTGCATTAACATCGGCTGGATTGCATATTATCAAGGGAGCTGTTATATGGGAAGCATATAGAGAATTTGAAGCAGTATTATTGGCATTGGTAAATGAAATAAATGTACATGTGTTTATATATATGAAATTGATTGAATTTTATTTCAAGTAGATTGATCCTACAAACGAAAGTGAAAAGAAGCAACAACTGAGCACCATTGGAAATCTTTTCCGACGCCAATTAGCGTGTCCTTTACTCGATATGGAAAAAACCTATGAAGAGTATGAAACTTGGAGAGCTGGTGATGGTGCCGAAGCTACGTTACTGGATAATCTTGTCCTCATAGGATATGAACGTGCTCTTGAAATGCTAAATAATCGTCTTCCTTATGAAGAAAAAATAGTATCTTCTCGAAAAGAAAATGAATTGTTAGACGCGTATAAAGAATATTTGTCGTATGAAAAAATTCATGGAGATCCGGGCCGTGTTACAGTTTTATACGAGAGAGCAGTTGCTGATCTCAGTCTTGAAGTATCGCTTTGGGTAGATTATATTAATTATCTTGAAAATAACATTAAGATAGAGTCGGTATTAAACAAGGCATACGAAAAGGCATCAAGAAATGTTCCATGGTGTTCAACTATTTGGCAAAAGTGGATTAGAGCCTATGAGAAATGGGAGAGACCCGTTTTGGACATTAACAACTTATTTGAAAAATCTTTAATAATGGGTTTTTCAGAGGCTAAGGATTATCGTGATCTTTGGATGAAATATTTAGAATATTTGTGTCGTAGATTGAATGACAATATAAACACAAAGTGTACAGAAATAGAGAAACAAAAAACTCATCTACGCAATACATTTAACAAAGCATGCGAACACTTGGCTAAGATGTTTGGTTTGGATGGTGATCCTAATGGAATTATTTTACAATATTGGGCAAGAATGGAAGCTATACATGAAAATATGGAAAGGGCTAGATCTCTTTGGACAGATATACTTTCGTTAGGCCATTCGGCAACTGCTTCTTATTGGTTGGAATATATCTCTTTAGAAAGGTAATTTTTTCGAAATTATTCAAACAAACAAACAAACAAATAAACAAACGTAAATTCATTAATATTCGTTGAAAATGTTAACAGATTTTACGGCGACTCGAAACATTTGAGAAAAATATATAAAAGGGCATTAAATTCGGTCAAAGATTGTCCTGAAATCGTGGCTAATTGCTGGTTGAATTTTGAACGTGACGGAGGTACTCTCGAACAAGTGGAATATTGTGAAATGAGAATTCAAGAAAAAATGGCCAAATTGGAGGAAGAAAAAAGTAGTAAAGCTAAGCAAGCTAGTGTGAAAAAAGAATCATTTGGACAAGCAAGGAAAGGAATTAGGAGGAAAGCTGATGATATAAGTAAATGGAAAAATTTAGGAGTTTCTTCGAGCAAAATAATCAAAGTAGAAGAGAAAAATGAATTTAAATTAAGAGAAAGTCGTCTTAATTTGGACAAAAGTTACTGCGGGGAAGAAGTCAACCAGTCAACAGAAGATCAACCACCGCCAGGCTTCAAAGCATCCGAAAATGAAAAAACCGATACAAATCGTGAAGTAGATGATAAATTAACCGTATTCATTAGTAATTTGGATTACACAGCTATCGAGGATGAAGTTAGGGATGCTCTACAACCAGTAGGACCAATAACTTTAGTTAAAATGGTTAAAGATTATAAAGGACGTAACAAAGGTTATTGTTACGTTCAATTAAGCAATACCGTACGTTAATAGATTTTCATCTTAACACAAATTGTAAATAATCAGTGTCGTTGTTTACAAATTACACAATTTATACATTTGTTACAACAGGAGGCAGTTGAGAAAGCATTGACGTTAGATAGAACGCCCATAAAGGGACGTCCCATGTTTATTTCAAGATGTGATCCTAACAAGAGCACGAGAGCTTCAGGATTTAAATACAATAGCACACTGGAAAAAAATAAACTTTTTGTCAAAGGTAAGCATAATAGACAATATGTAAAGTTTGATTTTATTGTTAGCCTATAAGCTAATATTATTATCATTATCTCGTAGGTCTACCAATTACTACAACGACAGAGGATCTTGACAAAATATTTAATATTCATGGAAAATTAAAAGATGTTCGTTTAGTTACTTACCGCAATGGACATTCCAAAGGATTGGCATACGTTGAATATTTCAACGAAACTGATGCTGCTAAAGCTCTTCTTGCTACGGATGGTATGAACATTGATAATAAAGAAATAAGCGTAGCTATTAGTCAACCACCTGAACGTAAGAAAGAAGAAGTTTTTCATGGTAAATCGTTAGGTAGTAGTACAGTAAGTAGAACAACGTTTGGAGTACCAAAAACCTTGTTATCTATGGTACCGCGTAATGTTATGATTAGTAGTAATAATACTAATAAGAATTTATCTAAGATAGAAGTATCCCAGCCGAAAAGTAATCAAGATTTTCGGAATATGTTGTTAAGTAAAAAATAATCTACCGTATTATATAAAAGATTATTTTTAATGATAAATCCAGTGCTCCATCATATCACCACGTAGTATCCTTCCATATATCTGACAAAGTATACATACATTGTATAATTGTATAAAGCAGCAAAATATGATATAATATACAATTTTGATAAAAACAATATAATAGCTTTAGTAAAATGAGGAACAGTTACTACATACTTTACTTTACTCTATTGTTTATATGTTAAATATACGATTGAATTGTCATTATTCAAATATATTATTGATTATTGTAAGAAAGTATAAAAAAAAAAACAAGAAATACATTATGGTAATCGACCAGGAAATACAATAAATATCTTCAATGTTTAAATGAATAATGTGTGTAATATATACATCATGAAAATACGTAATTAGTAAAATTAGAAAAATTATTTATCTAAATTTGAAAAATCGTTCAATCACACACACGCACGCACGCACGCACACGAGCGTAAGTACTTACAAAAAATCACTCAAGAACATTCCTGAACAAATAGTTTAAACGAATAATAATAATAATAATGACAGAAATATAATAATTTGCAGTGAGTACAATTTGTTGATATTTTTCCTCAAACGAATGACCGTTGTATATTACATTTGTAATTGTGCATTAGATGATATGTGACATTTCTTGTGTCTTGGCGGAGCCACGGGTGGATTTTTGGTGTCGTCTGGTGTCAAAAGTCTTCTTTGCAATAGCCATTTTTTGGCTCTACCAGCGTGGTAATAGTACGTGTAAAGCAGTGCCATAGCAGCCAGCACCACCAATAGACACGTACCAGCAATGATAATACTGAACAACCAAGAAGGTGCTGATATTGGTATAGAAGTTGGTTCCATAGTTGATGATGTGTCCGTAGGTGTACTTTCTGTTGGCACTTTTGGAAGATCTGGCAATGATAGAGTTTCATTGTCACCGATAGCGATATCAGCACATGCTCGGAATTCTTCTTGTGGTCCACAACCTACAGCTCCTAACGAACAAACACGCACACACCAGCAGACATGCAATAAATAGTCTTTGTGTAATCTCGTCATGCAATTGAACGAACGTGCTAAGAACTTTAATGAGTATTGCTGAAATAACAGTAATATAATATGCAACTGTTATTCTATTATTGTTATTTTACTTTCTACAATGATATTTCAAAATCAACTCTTAATAATTATGCATTTTCCATACCATTGATTGATGATTGATTATTATCAAATGTATATTTGACTAAAATAATACATACCTGTGCCATTTCCGCAATCACCCCAATTATTGCCAGCTATGTATCTCCATTGAAAAACGCATTGTCTACAAGTCAATCCTTCGGGTAATTTATAAAATCCTTCGAAAATCTTATTACCAGGACCTGGATAATATCTTGCAGTTCCATTCTTTCCAACTAGAAGATACTTGTCCAAACATTCCTGAGTGACTTCCTTGTCACGGTAAATCATCGGACACGTGCGAAATTCAAAATAGCCATAATGATTTGCTGTTAACTGGACACGAACCGGTATAACGGAACCAGTTCGATATCTTCGAACGATCACCCCGTTCCCATACTTCCCACCAGTTTCGTGCAAACGTGGCTGATGAAAATAATCGAAAAGAACATGAAAAAAAAAAAAAAAAACAGTATTTTGTACTCGTTTCGTTTCGTTTATATATATATATAATTTTGGAAATAATAAGATATAAGAATAAAAATACGTACGGTAGCGGAATCCCAAGGATCTCCGCAAATTCCACATTTTCCTTTATTTCGTTGCCACTGTCTGGTGAAACCACCGCAATAGCATTCGTGATCATTATAATCGTGCGGAGTGTCGAAACCATATCTCCACATAGATGCTCTTGAAGGTGGTTCTATCAGTCTTCCATGAGATGATACTCGTTTTACGACTAATGCAACAAGACAAATCGATGCAAAAATCACGAAGCGCATCTTTTAAATGACAAGTGGCCTCTAGAAAAAGAAACCTATTTCATTTTCTTATTATAACGTTCGATGTTATGCAGCGAATTAGTTGTAAGAAGAATTTAGGAAGAAGGGAGAATTGTACAGACCGGTTATCGGTACTCGAACAACAGTCTACATACGACGTCTGTATATATTATGTATATATCACAGTTTATCTTGAACAATGAGTAAAAGTAAAAGTACTTGGTAACAAAGTAAAATTTATTAAACAAATATTTCATTATTATTTATTCAAGATACACTGTTGTATTATTTAGTAAAAATATCGTTATTTCAATAAGTCAATTTGAAAAAATGATATTCACTTTAATTGTGGATTAATGTAAAAATTACTAAATACTCTACACTCGATCGATCACTCATTCACTGGACACGTGAAAAATCTTCAATCACTGTTTAAATAAAAAAGAAAAATAAAAGTAGATAAAGGAGAACGTACCGTCGTCGTCGTCGTCTGTATGATAGAATTGAGGGCCCTGTTTTCTCGCGACACTGAACGGTGAATCAGAGCCACTGACATGAGATCCCACTCGAAATGAAACAGGAAACCGGTCGGTCGATGACTGAACTTCAAAGTTTGCTATTCGAACTCTCTTTCGAGCTACGGCATATTAAGAGTAGGTCATTAGAACGAGGCGTTCGCTCGTATTCCTGACATGTACAGCACGGAGGAGACATCGATGCTTGGCATTTGCACGGGCACAGATCGGCGTTTATTTCTAAAAACGAATTCACAATTTTCTGTATAAAACAATACGAGTGATGATTAGTATTACAAGTTTCTTTCTACATATATCAAACTTTAGCAAATAAAACTTTATCTACAATGTAACACTCGGTATGTAGATTTAAGTGCGATGTTGAATGCGATCTTTCTATAATGTGATCTTGAATGCAAGGTGAAGGAATACGTTTCGTAATATGCTACTTGCGTTATCGTATGTATCTGTTCTTAGAAGACAAATATTCAGTAATTATTGTTATCTCATAGAAAAGGAACGTCTAAAGAGGAGATATTATTTTAGCGTTAGAGAATATATATTTTCAAACGATTATATATACTTTTTCCCATAACGGTGAACGGGAAATTATGCGGAAAGTAGCCCCGGTTGTTATGACGGCTGAGGTGTAAAATTGTCGGAACGAAAAGGAAATGGTGTACTGATGATGTTCTAAAACGCTTACGCTTTCTGATCGGCATTCGTTGAACATCTTTAACGGATGAACGTTCGATACGAATACATTTAGAGAGAAACAACAAGAAATAGAAAAAGAGTCTGCTGGTCTCAGTCTGTTAACTAAAAACTTCCTTGCTTTCTCCGTTTGCTTTCAACCTACCTACCTACCTACCTACCTACCTACCTACCTACCTTTCGCGATAATTCACTCAGGGAGAAAATTGTTGGAACGATAAAAAAAAAAAAAAAAAGAAGAAGCGAATAAATAATAAATTAGATGTGATATTAACTAAAGTTATTCGTGCGATGACTTCTTTCCAATTGATTTCGAATGCATTGATGCGTAAATTTGATATAATTAAAAATAGTACAAATTTGGTTTATGATAAAAACTGAAAGGAAAGTTCCATGACCTCGAATGCATTTAAAGTTCATACTTCTATTCACGGACATTCCAACCGGACACATTCCGGTTTTTTACTGGATCTAACTAACATACATACACACACACGCTTGTTTTATTTTCTATAGAGCGTCATATTCGGGATAATTAGACAAACATTAAATACGCAGGTTCGTTTCACTACGGAGATAACGATTTATTATAATATAAATATATAATAAATATCTAAAAAGATACAGTTTTTGTTTTGTATTGAGGATTTGTGTATATATGCATTATAAATTTGTGAACAATCGTACATTACAATAATCAATAATATCGTATTAATAGAAAAACTTAATATAAACGATCAAATGAAAGTGTATAATATGTATATATATATCGCGTAGAGATGGGATTAAATATTATTACAAGCTTTGCGTAAATAAATATCACATTATATAGATAATAACAAGTTAATATAGTTAAATATTGCAACAATATTAACAATTGTAAGAGTATAATAAATAATGATTGAAGGAAGATGCATAAGAAGCGTATTACACTGATAGATTTGATTATGCACTGACCATATTATTGTTTGAGAAAAGAAGAAGAATACCAATTGAATGTATCATAGGAAGATAATAAGATGCAATCCTTAAGTAAGATCAAGTAAAAATTGCTTTACGTTACTTTTTCATCAGTTTGCTTTACATTACTATAATATACTTACAATATTTAATTACATAGAATAAGTCTTGAATATGATATGTTCTATTGCCTATCTATGCCAAAGAATAGATTACATTTATGCATCTATTCTTTGTAAAGGAAATATTTTACTTTACTAATTGACCAAAGTTTTGGCACGTTATAAATGTGTTCCAGACCATTTTTCTCTTAATTTATATATGATAATTGAATGTAATATTGGTTTATCTTTCTTTTTTATCTATTCTACTTTAGAATAACAATAAGTACTTTTATAATTTTAAACAGATTCCAAGTATTATCAATGTCTTATTTTTTAAATCAATGAATATATTGGATATTCATATTGACTTATAGGAGTTTTTTTTTTTTGTTTCACATAAAGTACAAAGTAGATTTACCAAGAGTTTGTTAAAATAGTTAACAATAATAATGAAATATGATAAATTTCGATGGAAAACATTTTTTCTAGAATAATATGTATATGTAATCTAACAATTGAATACTAAAAAATACTATATTATTATCATCATATTGATTATATCAATAAATAACGGTAAATATATAGGCATATATATACCTTATATATAATAATACAGATTTCACGTTATATAACATAGTACACGTACTTGGATAAAATGCGCAACTATGTTGGTAAGGCAATGTTATTTCTCTCACGATTTAGTACAAAAACTCTTTCATTTTGTTTTGTTGTTGCGAGCCGTCGTACTTTTATCATCCTACTGTTTCACAAACTCATGCTCAATTCTGCACATTTCGTAGGGAATTTGAAAGAGGAAGTTAATTTTAGTTAATATTATCTTGATAAAGATAGTATTATAGTGTAGTAGTGTTAGCAAAGTGAATATTTAATCAGTGCATTTCTTACATATGTTATTGACAAATAGAGAAATATAAATACATAGGTGGTGTTTGTTATTCGTAATAAATGTTTTTTTTTTCTTTTTATTGATCTTGAGAATGGTATAACAAGATATTGACTATGACATACTAGTGTGAATCTTTAACACATTAATTATATGTCGAAAGAAATGAACTATGATTAATATTTCATTAAAGACCTTCTTTTTCAAAGTTGAATGCACGAGCAAATAGATTGGCCCCAGCGCCATTCATTAATGGCACATATTTCATGATTTATTTGTCAATAAAACACTTGATCCCATCTTATTCGTAAAACAATGATTGAGATTTAAGTAGATTTAAGTAGATTTAAGTAGAGACTTGTATATTCTCATATAGGGGAAAACACGTTGAGAATAAAAGTGATATGTAAATTAGTAGTTTGTATCACTTTTATCCTTTTAAATAAGACAAGTTGAAAAATAATAAATAAAAAGTTATGATTTAGGAATGTTTACCTCTTACTTTAACTGAGGAGTCTTCTGTCCTACTAATTTATTACGAAGTAAATTGAAATTACCGTGTACTTGAGATAGTTGAGCCTTAAGCGAATCGGAAAGTTGTTTTTGCAACTGTTGAACCTCGGAAATTTCTTGACGAAGGTTTTGATAATCTTTAGTAACTTGATGGACAGAACGTAACAAGCGAACTACCGATATCTGTTTAAAGTTAAATAACTTATAAAGCATTGAGCTATAGAGTATATAACGTATATTAGTGAAAGTTTAGTCAAATCAAATCAAATCAAATAATACCTCATTATCTGGATCTTCAAATTCTTTCTCAAAGGCATCTATTTGCCAAGCAATCATATCTAATTTTCCATCAGCCTTTTGGACCTATAATTACGAATGAAAAATAATATTAAACTTTGACATTTACATAAGGATAGATAAGAGAGTTATTGAAACATCTATTGAAACACGTATAGAGTTTTAATTAAACATTAAACTTACGCTTTGTTCAAGATGTACGATGGCAGACTCCATATTTTCTTTTCAAAATGCGAATATCTTGAGATATTCAAAGGGAAGGTGTGTAATTAAATAATTAATTAATTAATTAATGAGATACGCACAAAAGACCACTGCCTTACCACTTTAAAATCGATTATATACACCTATTTCGAGAATTTTGAATGGGGGATAAAAAACGGTTATAATAATCGATTCGATGCACTTACTGCAGATGGCAGCTAAGTACCTAATCAAATGAAATTTATCTAACGGATAATTTATCGACTGTGCAATGTTGCTACGAAAAATGCGGGAATTTTCAAATCGCGTTTAAACAACAACATCATTTAAACAACAGTATAAATAAATATAATTATTATTGACGTAAAAAAATAAGTATATATATATATATATTAATTGGTAGGGGTTTTAGAAAAATTCAGTTCAACGAAATATCGAATATTATTGTTTGAATAGGAATTTATTTGAGCGCACGCGTAAAACTAAGATTAATCGAATGGAGGCGCGGTTGTCACCGATCAATCTCGAGAAGAGAACTTCTTGGATGTTTGCATGTGCGCAGTTTGCTGCTAGTTGAAGGTCTACGTTTGGCTCTTCTGCCTCTATACGTCTGCTGCTTATACCGTCTGTATAATCGTTATTCCAATTGACAAATTAGTGCATATTAGTGCATTTAGTGACATTGATTGTTGCTGCCTTTGTCACATGACGACGTAAATTTCATTCAAGATTTAATCTTAATTATTTACAAAGGTAACGACGAGATAATAAAAAGGGGATAGAAACATGACTATCATCACGAAAGCTATCAGTGAGAAGAAGGCGTCGGACAAAAAGGAGCAGCCATTGTTTGTAGAGGAAACTGCTGCGGTTAGCACGTTTATCTTGACATTTGATAACAATATCTCATCTGCATAATTACAAAGAATTCTTTTTTAAATATTCATTTCTCTTTCTTTTCTTTTTCTTTCTTACATCCCCATGTCGTCATCATTTTAAATAATCTTCAATAATTTAATTTAATTTTTTTTTCTTTTTTTTTTTTTTTAATGCATACATACATATATACATGTATACATAATAATGTACATCATAGATCATTATTATTATCATCATCATCATCATCATCATCATCACAATTGATAAGTCTTATTATCTTAAAATATGTATACATATATTGCATGTATTGTTTTGACATGTATAGAGCTGTAATTAATAGTAATTATTTGTATATAGGATTCTTCAAAAAGCGATGTAGAAGCACAAACCCAAAAACCTGACGTTGGTAGACATTACTTTGCTGCGCGCAGAAACATCCATAGAATTCACGTGACTGCTACGTTTTTATTGTTCTTAATGGCATTGATGATATTAATAATTGGTGTAATAGGGGGTCTTTATATATACATACAATATGCCAGAGCACAAATACATAGATGCTGTACCGGATGGTATAGCATTCCCTACGATAAAACGCCATACAGCAGCGATAGTATGCATCAGGCTATCATCGCTGATTCTAATTTGTTCAAGAATTTTGCTAGAGGCTCTGAACCGGAGGAAATGGATCTTCAAAATAATCTAGACAATAATAAGAGTTTCCTTAAAGAACATTTTGAAATAGATCTTGAAAATGAACATTATGAAAAGATTGACGTGCCAGATTTTCGTGGCGGTCGACAAGGACGTTTTATACATGATTTTAGCATTGTAAGACATTTACTAATTCGCTCTATATTCTTTTTTCTTCTTCTTCTTCTTCTTCTTCTTTGTATAATTCATTTCTTTTTAGAACAAAACTGGAATTATAGATATCGATGGTCAATGCTGTTTCGTTATGCCATTGAACCGTCAACGAGTTTTGCCACCGCATAATCTTTATGATCTTCTTAGAAAAATGTTTAATGGTAATACAATGAGATCGTATATGAGTTTTTAACCGAGTTAACTTATTTTTCTAATATATTGTGGTATGTATTAGGTTATTACGAAGTAGATACAGATATTGTACGTGAAACTATGAAAGTTGTTATTCCACCTATTACTGATATGTCTACTGTCGGAACATATATTGCCCGTGAATGCCAAGATTTTCCAACGTATATGCTGAGAAAAGTAAATCATACTGGTGAGTATGACGGTGAGACACACACACAGGCTTTCAGTGAATTCAATTGATCTGCTAAGAATTTGAATAAATTGAAATATTGATCAATTTCAGTTGTTAAGAGGAGTGCATCGAGCGGTATTTTTGCACAATTTGCCGGGAAAGATATCATAGAAGTTGATATTTTGAATTTGAACGAATTCCATAAGTAAAATGAAGGAATTTACATTTTTTAGGCAATTAAGATTCAGTAGATTGATGTAAAAAATAAGAAAAATAACAGGTTACGTAATACCCAGAAAACATAGGTGACTATAGCGATTTCTTCGAAGTAGATAATTTTGATTGTACAACTTGTAGTTTTCATCATGATTTCAGATGTAAGTCTACTTTTCAACACCATTATGTCTTTCCACAACATTTATCTACTTGATCCTGGATAGCAGTTGTCATCATTTATTATATATATATATATTCGCATTAATATCTAATGCGAATGAATAAACATTGTGCAATAACTGGTTAATCTTAGATGTGCAATAGAATTTGAAGAAAATTAATAGGCTACATTCTTTTTATAAGCTTCTTTATCTAATATATATTTAACGATCATATTATTCATTGGAATCGTTAAGAATAATAAATATTGCACGATTAAGTGAATTATTGCATTTTGTAAAAAGGATGTGTCTATTATTATTGTTATTATTATTATTATTATTATTATACATTATCGTATTATTACATTTTCTTCTTATTAAAAAAAGATTCTATAAACAATGATTACACGTATAATATCTTTTCGTATATGAAAGAAATAAAAACCGCTTGCTCTTACTTTAAATATTATAGATACATATCAAATTTGACGATTGGATAGAAAGAATAATTTGGTCTTCATTGGAATTGCTACAACGTGAGGTCAATAAAATAACAGAGTTTAATCGGTGATTCATTTCTTTGGAAAACCAAAAAAACACATCGAATTTACTGTTTTTTTTTTGTTTTTCTTTTATTTATAGGACTGTTTTCGAGCAAACTGAATTTTTATTAGATCAAATTTCAATTGCTACAATTTATTCCACATTTCTTCTATCATTAGCAAACAAACTAATATTAAAAATGAAAAAAAAAAATGTAGAAAAATGAACGTATTGCATTCCGTGCATTTAATATTCCGGTATATATAGTAGAAATACGTGTATACCTTTGATATTTTAAGTTATATATCTAAAACTGTTTGGCTATACATACGTATATATACATATACATATATATATATATATATATATATATATATATATAAAAAATGTTTCTATACATAGAGTAAAGAATATTTAGAAAATCATGAACGATGATCATTTTTAAGAGCAACATAATGGCTTTGATATGAGCTTCGACGTTAGTTCTAAATAAAAAGTTGCTGAAAATAATGAAGAAAGGAAGAGGAAATTAAATATATATATATATATATATATTTAGAAACTTTATGAAAACGTATATATTTTATTGCATGTGTAGTAAGATAGTGTATATTACATATTAATCATTTGTAGAATTGGGTGGAAATACGAGATTACACGATTGCATTTAATTTAAATTGTGTAAAATTTAAATTACAATTTTGTTAAGATAAATTCTCTCTAGAATTTGAAATATTATTACTATATATATATATATATATATGTATACATGATATGTTATATACGTAAAGTTCTTCTATATTATTATATCATATATTTTATTGTTATTAGTTATATTACTCAATAATAAGTATATAAAATTTGTAAAATTGTATGCAAGATATATATTGTAAGATCATAGAAAAATAAAAAGTATACATACAGGGTGTCCCAGTTTTGTTTTGCTAAATTTTATCTAGCTACATATTCTATGTGGAGAAATAAGAAAAGAAGTCATGATTATTAAATGTGAGCAATGTAGATAATAAATATATTATTATATTACTGTAATATAACGAACGACATTTGCATTTATTTACAAGATGTAAAATATAAAATGTTGTAAATGTTGTAATAGAGAGAGATGATGTCAAGTAGAATTAGAATGCGTCGTCGTATCGACCAATGCTTTTTGTCTAAGCGTATAAAGTTTTTTAACCCATTTATCAAAACGTGCTTCTTGATCTTGCATAATCTGAAAATACAATGACAAATAAAATAACAACTTGTAATAATATTATTATTATTACAAATTGTTATTTTATCGATGCAATGTACAATAATATTTATATTCTCTTACCGAAGGATGAAATATACTTTCCGGTATGGTGCTTATATCAGCAACAGTTGGAATTTGAATAGTATCTGCGCTAATATCGATGACAATGTTTTTAAATTTGCTTTCTTTCGTATGAGAAGATGTAGTAAATTGTTTAGGCGTGAACCCTTCAGAATTAATTTCTTCTAGTACGCTTTCCTTGATACGTGGTTCAATTAAAAAATCATCTAAAGAGAGACGACAGGGAGTGAGAGATTTGTAAGATACAAGATGAGTGTTTGATTTTTGTAATATTTCTTATATCAGTACCTTTGGTAATGGGATTATTAGATTTCTCAAGTAGAGGTTTAACGGTAGATTGAGAACTGCTGGAACGACTTCTAGATTTATCTCTAGAATTAGATCTGATTTTTCTTTTGCTACGATCAGAAGAATGGGATCTGCGTGTACGTGAACGATAGCGACGCTTATCTCTATCACCCGAATTGCTTCTGGCACTTTTGTAACTTTTGGAGCTTCTATCTCTGCCTCTGCTTCTGGAGTGCGAACGATGCCTTCGTTTTGATTTAGAATGTCTAGATGATCTCTTACGATACGGAGATGATTCACTTGTATCCGAACTGGTAGATCTAAGGAATAGAATGAATATCTTCAATATTTTCCATTCATTAACATATATTTTTATATCATTTGATATTACTGATATTATAACTAACCTAGATTTTCTGCTGTGTTTTCTTCTGTATCTGCTGCTATAATCTGAATCTGAATCACTCGAATATCTTGCCATAATTGTTAAGTACTAGAAACAAAATGACTCAACAAATTCTTTATAATTAATTATATTGGTTATTAATTATATATCAATAGTAACAAACACTTTAGAAGACATTTGTTTTGGGCACTGTCAACAAGATATTAACTATTATATTAGTGCTATTCGATCATGTTGTTGTCTAGATAATGTTCCTTTTAATACAAGACAATTTGTTAGGATAAATTGTTTAAACAGTTTGTAACGTCTTAAAACGTTTCCTCGATCGTGAATGAAATGATTACACACGTTATTATAGTGTAACAGAGAAAATATGGCACTCTTTAATGATATTTAGAACGATCGGTAAAGATGATCCCTATGTTATCAACTACTCGAATGATAATTCTTATAGTGGTCATTAACTTATCGAGCATCGGTAAGGCAGATTTCTATATTTAAAAATAAATTAATAAAAAAAAACTCGAGAGACGATATTTTAATGATTTGGATTTAACAAGTGTTAAATTAAAAAATGAGCTGTAATAATCGACATTAATTAGCGGCAAAGTATCGAAGATGTTTCGACATGCATAGTATGATAGGAAATGTTGTTGCCGCGAAATGATATTCTATATTATTATATCGCGATGTAAATACAAATATGGTCTCTCGAGTAGATTTTATAGTTGAGTGACAGTTACATTAGCTTCGAGCATATCGTATAATGTTTGCTCATGCACGTGCTTCCTTGATAATATCGATAGAAAAGCTGTTAGGTAAGTTGTCTCATGCCGAATAAAAAGGACCACGAATGGCAGGCAAGAAGTGTGCAATCTTTGTATCAAAATGTAAATTAGTTTTCTGCATTTGACGTTTTCTAAGAGATGCACAACGGAAGAATAATATCATTAATTAATCATCTGAAATAATTCAAGTTTTGAATCCAACAGAAATGAGTAGTATATAATATTAGGGTTTGAGGAGGGTAGGAGAAATAATGAAATAAATCAGAGAAAGATGAGTCGCTTCGTTTAATCGAAATCAATATAATATTTCGTTTATTACTTTTAAAAATTATATGGCTTCGATATGGTGGGGTTTTTTATTTAATTTAATTTAATTTAATTTAATTTATTTTAATTTAATTTAATTTATTTTACTTTAATTTATTTTATTTCATAGGAGCGAGAGAAGTTGGAAAGATTCTTGCGTGCGAGGTAACTCTGCCCATTTTGTTTGTTTGTTTGTTTGTTTGTTGTTTATTTATCGTGATATTCATTAATATTATCGTCCTTCTCTCTCTCTCTCTCTCTCTTTTTCTTTTCCATTTGATCTCTTCCTTCGTCCTTTGAATCCTTCGATTTTAAGCGTAACGATAGGAAAGCGTATATTTTCCCGGCGTAAGAGGACAAGAAGAAGAAGATTTATACGTGGTGTTCCACAAGTGTTGCCTTTCAAATCAAAACTATTGGGACACCCTTAATAAGAGAAAAATGTATGGTAAGAATAATTCACGATTTACGTTTGTTTCTTTTTATCCTTTATAACGAAAAAAAAAAAAAAATGTCAAACTCTCTTATTTTCCTACTCTACTTCTCTCTTTTTTTTTTTTTTTTTTAATATTTATAATTGCTTGCCATTTTCTTACATAGAGATTTCAGTCTATGAAAAATAAAATACAGCAAATGTTATCATTATTACAATTATTATTATTACAATTAATATAATTATTATTAATATTATTATACAAGTGGCAGTGTGAAACGCCATAACCCGGTTGGGTTATCCTAACTTCAAAAAAAAAAAAAAAGATACTAGGAAATCAAAGAGATTATTTAAATGCTGATATTTATGTGTGTGTGTGTGTGTGTGTGTGTGTCGTTAATTTGAATGAAAAATTATTCCTCTTGATTTTTCAATTGAAATCAATATAATGATGACGATGACGATGACGGTGACGGTGACGGTGACGATGACGATGACGATGACGATGATTGATCGATGGCAATTGAAAAGAATTATATTTATATCTATACTGTATATTTTGTCTCTTTTTTCAAAATGGAGGAATATCAGTAATACTGGTCGACATTTTATTTCCTCTTCTTTCTTTCCCTCTCTCTCTCTCTCGCTCTCGCTCTCTCTCGCTGTCTCTCTTTTTCATTAATTTGAATCATGTGGAATTCGTGCAATGTAATTAATTTACACTCACTTGCACACGTATTTCGTAAAACGGATAACGTTGTTAATTTGTACTAAAGTGACCCAATTTTCACCAAAGTTCCCGGAAGCGAATGAGAGAAAGGGAGAGAGATCATGTCAATGCAATTAAGTTCACTTGTTCCTTTTATTCTAGCCAATCAGAAACGTGATAAATAATACATGTAAAAGAAGAAGAAGAAGAAGAAGAAGAGTCTTTCGAATAATATGAATGATTTGAATGAACAATTACAAGAAATTTCATTTTTGGGTTTCAATTTTGTACGTTATTTTTATTTTTATTAGTTTTATTATTATTATTATTATTAATTCTTATTTTAATATCATAATTATAATAATATTTGATTAGGCGACCTCTCTGTGGATATAAGTATCGAATAAGTATGAGAAGAAGGTGTTTATAGAGAAGTGCCAAAGAACCCATCAAAGGGTCCAAAGTAAAAAGACAGACCAATTGTATTTTATTATTATCATTATTATTATAGTTTATTATTATTATAGTTTATTTTATTTTATTATTATTTATTATTAAAAATTAATTAACTAATTAAATAGTTAAGCGATTATGTATTTAATACTAATTGGAAGGAACCATGATGGACACACAGCGTGCTTAGGCGACAAATATATAATATATAATATATATATATATATATATTTTCTTTTATTCTTTTTGTTGTTGTTGTTGTTGTTGTTGTTGTTGCTGTTTATTCTTTTTAAGGAATATTTTTCATAGCAATTATTATAACACTGCGATGATCCATCCTTAACATGGATCAGAGAGAGGATGATGAAGCATGATTCATGATGGCATAACAATATTTACTTCTTTTACAATAAATAAGTCTTTAATAAATATTATATTTTAGATCGAACAATTTGTTTTTTTTTTTTTTACGACTCTCATGTTTGAAAGATCCACAAGACGATCGGAGGATCTAGGAATTTTAGGTTCGATCGGATCTCTCTCCTCTTCTGCGTCACGCAAAACATTTTCTCTTTTTCGTTTTTTTTTTTTTTATTTCTCTCTCCCTCTCTCTCTCTCTCTCTCTATTTCTACTTTTTTGTCTTTTTCTATTTTCGTTTGAAAGTCTTCTACTACAGTAGCGTTTGAGAAATTTTGATTAACTGTTCTTTCACAAAGCGACTAATTTACTGCCTTTGAAAAATACATCGAGGATATCTCTATGACATATATCCGAACAACGATTTTTCATTTTCTCTCTCTCTCTCTCTCTCCTCTCTTCTATTCTATTCTCTTATTTTCGTCCATCTTTTCGAAATATTTTCAATATGGAAATTAAAAATGACAAATTTATGAATTGGGATATAACTTGGAAGGATCATTTGAACCTATCGCGATATCATGCGAATGGCGTCGTTAACGGAGCAACGAGTATTTTCTCTTAGATAAGAGAAATGGTTGCGCGCCGCTTTTACATAGGAAAGGTGTTACGTTTCGACAATAAAACATACAAAGAATACAAAATGAAGGATAAGAGATAGAGATAGAAATAAAGCGAGAGAGACATAGTTTCACCGGAAGAAGTCATTCGAACAACAAAAATATAGATATGTACATGCACTCGATAATGATATTTTGTTTGTGATGTGTTGTTGAGTTGTGTTGTGTTATCGTTTACATGGCTAGTCTTTCAAAACCGAGTAAACGTTCGGTGGTCGCATTAGATTCGAACCCACCAAAATTCCAATAATCTTTCGAACGTGTCTCAGGAACTATAGTTTTAATCGTCCTCGTCGTCGTCGTCGTCGTTGTCGTCGTCGTCGTCGTCGTCGTCGTCGTGGTTTTGTCGTTGACCCTTTGTACGAGTCTTCGTCTAACGCCAAGGAGGAGCCGCTGTTGGGACGCGTTCTTCTTTCGTTTGGAGGAGGCCGAAGAGAAGGAGGATGAGGAAAGCGAGGAGATCGTCGCGGATATCGACGGTATTTCCACGACTGCTTCCAATTTCGCAATCGTTTTCCTCGCTCTCTTCTTTCCCTTTTCCTCTTCCTCCTCCTCCTCGTCGTCGTCCTCCTCCTGCAGCTCTGGATGATGATCCCCCTTGACTTCTGGCTCGGCTTCGACTTCGGCTTCGGCTTCGACTTCGGTTTCTCCCTCCTCCCCCCGATCCTCCTTCTTCCTGGATAACGGGTTCCTCCTCCTCTTTACCCAAGCGGGACCACCTCTCTTCCTCTTCTTTTTCTTCTTCTTCTTCATCTTCTTCTTCTTCTTTCCGTCCAGCAAATCAGGCTTTTTACTTTGACTAATGGTGCCGGCGACGTTTGACTTTTTTGACGTTGCTTGTTCAAGGTTCTTACCGATGCTCGTGCTGAGGAGCTCCTTCTTCTCTTCCTCTTCCTCTTCCTCCTCCTCCTCCTCCTCATCCTCCTCCTTCTCGTCCTCGTGGGTGGTGGTGGTGGTGCTGGTGGCGTTGCTCGGCTGAACATCCACTGGCGACACGTCGTCCGTTTCGGTGCTGTTGCTGTTGTTGTTGTTGTTGTTGTTGTTGCTGTTGGTGGTGGTGGTGGTGGTGGTGGTGGTGGTGGTAGTCGTCGGTGATTCTCCTGGACCCTCCAACGAGCTTTCCTCAATCCCCATTCGGGATTTCTTTTTTTTCGAATTCGCGGTTTGCTTCCTACACGTTTCCTCATTGGCAGTACCCTCACAGGTTGCAACAGATGACGACAACGTTTCTCGATCTTCCGGTAATTGACACTGCGGACCAACTTTTTCCCCGGGTCTACATCGACGTTTTCTCTTCTTTCTCTTTTTACGTTTGCGACATCTAAACTTGTCTCTACCATCCTTCTCTTGAGTTGGGAGATTCGGACAAATGGTCTGTTGCTGCTGCTGCTGCTGACTCAAATCACCCTGATGATTTTCCTGATGATGTCGTTGCCTTTGAGCATGACTACTGCCGTGACGATGGCGTACATTGTGCTCGGCACCCATCATCTTCCTTTGAAGGGCTTCCACTCGATCCGGCGGTGCTACCTGCGTGAGCACCCTCGCATAAGTCGACAATCTACCGAGCGTATGATCCTTAGCTTGGACCCTCCTCGGTTGTCCACGACGATTTAATCCAAGGTAGAGAGTCCTCTTTCCGGTCGACCATTTTACCGAGCTGTACGTGTTGTAGTTGTGCTGCTCCAACGTCTCGTTGAACACGCAATCCTCCGTGTACTCCCTCTGCAAAAACACCAACCTACAATTAGCTAAGCTTTTTTGTCACGGTTATTATTCGATCAAAATGGATTAACTTTTTTATAACAACTTCAACTGCACAAATTCAACGTCAAAGAAGAATATTTACAATGAAATGAAGTAGTCTATGGTAGAACGAACGTTGGTCAGTTCAACGATATTTAATATCGCATTGTGCAATTACTGGCTTACCTTGCCAAGGTTCTCTATAGTCAAGCGAGTTTTACATCTCTCTCTCTCTCTCTCTCTCTCTCTCTCGTTTTACTTGAAACTATAATTTGCAATACCGGCATGATAATGAAGGGTCATTAGAAACATTGTGTTCACTCAACCCGTTACTTTTCCTTCCTTCCTTCCTTCCTTCCTTCTTTCCTATCGACCTTGCACGTTAAAAAGGAAAGAGAAATGAAAACTCTGATGCAACTTTTTAAGGAAATCATACCAAGGGATAAAAAAAAACAAGTTCTCTCTATTCGCGTTTCGTGATGTAATTATACGCTTCGTACTCGGTGTGTCGGTGTGTTTGTCGAAACGTTTGTCTCTTTTACTGACTCAGACGACTAGAATCTAAGGTTATATATAGAAAGGACAGATAGACGGAACGTTGCGCTTCTTCCTTATTGCTGCGGTTAATCGGAACGAATCAACTTGAAAGATAGAAAGTAACATGTGAGTGGGAGTAATACGCTTGCTTGCTTGCTTGCACTCCGGTAGCGATCGAAACAAAATTTATGCACGTTGCAACGTTCGATGACAGATTTATTAGTCATCGTTTATTTATTATACGAATGAAATCAAACTAATAATAAAAGTTAAGCTCGTGCCAGTCTCCAACTCTACTCGCGTGATTCATCGTTCAAACAGAACTTTACTTGCAATTTCGATAAGGTAGTTGTTTCTTCGTACTTCTAGTTTTTCTTCTTCACTTGCACCCAACGAGGTTTCGTATTGTATCACTTGTTTTTTTCCCTCCTCTCCTCTTTTCAACGGAAATTCTACACACGTACAATTAAATCTGGTTTATGGTGTTCTCAAAGTTTGTAGCATCTTTAAAGAAGGAGGGTAGTTTAGAGGAGAGAGGGAGAGCAAAGTTTCCGAGTTTGCAGGTGGAATCTTAGATAGGGAAGTGTACTTATGATAGCATTGAATCTGGTTCGTCAAAGAAAAAGTCTTACACTTAGTCTTGCGCGTGTCATTCGTTACGCGAAAGGCTACTACCTTCGACACGGAAGATCTACGAGACATAGGCCTTGATCTTGGATAGGAAAGGCTAAGGATTATGCGTTTTCCTTAAGAAGGAATGACAACTTTGCTTCGACGGATGAATTCCAAGGAATACTCTCGGTTGCTTGCTTCCTTGCTTCCTTGCTTGCTATCTTTCTATTCCATTTTTTTTACATACAATCGAGACCTCTTGCGCACAGTCGGAATTCCACGAACTTGAATGAATTTCATTGAATGAAATCGTTCGAGGCCAATTACCTACGCTTAAACCGTACCAAGCAAGCAATTTTTCTTATAGAATATTCTTATAGCAGGACCGACCGACTGCGTTCTCTTTTTCTATGCTAAATTCACACTCAAATGATGAATCGTCCAATAAAAACAATCTATCCTATACTATGACATAGTAGAACATTTTTCTCATAACCTTAGCGTTCTTTTCTCACGCTATTAACGACCTATAATCAAGTTGATGATAATAATTAAGGAAGCGTAGCAATAACGAATGAGTTACAATCTTTCCAACTGCGTTGAAAGAATTTGCTGAACGATCTAATCGGGTTGCTTTCTCATTAAACAGCCGACGACGACGACGACGACGACGACGACGACGACGACGAGGAGGAGGAGGAAGAAGAAGAAGAAGAAGAAACAAATGAAATGACACGGAGAGAGAGTCAAAGATTTACGGCATCCTAATCGTTCAGCGACCGTTGCTAACCCCACCGGACAACTTGACTTTCAAAGAAGAAGAGAGAGAGAGAGAGAGAGAGAGAGGAAACCTAATCGAATTAGCAAATTAATAGCTTTGGGTGCTTTGGAAGCCGGATATGGGGAACTAACAACACGCGCCATGCCAATAATCGTAAATCATCGGATTGGATTTGGTAAGTCGATTTATTCTCGACACCATTCGACCACGATTAGGATTATACTTAATCCGTGGGAGCCTAAAGCCATAGTTGAAATGATCACGGTTAAGTCGTCTCTCAGGTAATCCATAGATGGAATATATTATTCGATATTGCTAGAATAAGTAGGATTGTTGTTGAAGCAAAGGTTCTACTAATCACGGAATCCTTGAAGAACTTTAACAACGGATCCTAACGAAAGTGTTAACATTACAACTGACGTTTAGGGTTGAAAATTACGATCGTATAGATTCGTCCGGGTTTAAGTTAACACCGAAAAACCCCATGTAGTAGTTTACTTTGTTCTCATCTCGTCCAAAGGAACCGCACTCGTAAACCAAGCAAAATACGATGTCAGCAGCTTGTTCTATACACAACAAGGCAAGACATATCGTTTGCGAGCTTTCAGTGGTTCTTCTGTCCAATTGTCTAGTCGATACTATCTTCCATACTAAGAGATGGCTCTTCAAATAAACCGCTCGATCTAATGCTTCCTTTACAAATCAAATTTTATTCAAGCTTTAAATGGATTTAGTCGACAACATTTTGTTGAACATTCGAAAGATACATTTTCCGACTGGGGGGATTATTTTGGTAGGGTGGAAAGAAATTTGAGAACCCCCATGGGGGTTTGGAGTTATGGCATCGGCCAGTGACCAGCGTAGGGACATCCTCTTTTGAAAATTATTTAGAGGCATTCCTTCAACGCCCACTGCTCGCTCAGTCACGAGCCACAAGCTGTTTGTTGTCTTCTTCATCGTCTTCTTCATCGTCTTGCCGCCGCCTGTACTGGAGCACCTTCCAAACTATTTATCTCTGACACGACCAAGTATACAATATTTCTGCGCTATAATGTGTCACAACGCTTTCGTATTGTTGCTAATTTTTAAGATTACAAAGTTCATTGTTATTTCATTCAATCAATCAATCACTTTTAATTGTCATGGATTGTTTTATTATTGAATATTTGAATATCTTTTAGATTGTCGGTGTGCTTTTCAACAGATTAATAGATTTTCTGGTTTCTCGGTGTTTGATGTATTGCTGGGTTGCTACGATGTTTATCGTGTTTCAAAAAATGCTACTTATATTCCGACCGGTGGAAAAATAATAAATCTACATTTTCTTCCTCGCTACGTGTGTTGTTTTCTACGAATAACGTAATTTAATCATCCCCGATAGATGACGTATTAATCTTTCGTGTAGATGCTTTTTCCCCCTTTTAAATGAATATTCCTTATAAACAACACCGCGCGCCGTAGGAGTTTTATGGGATAAATGTTGGGAAAAAAAGATAGAAAAAGATGGAAAAAGATGGATAAGAAAAAAGTAAGAGAGAAAAAAGCAGAACAAGTTCTGTTGCGTTAAAAGGGATGGTGAATGGTCCAGATTGATCGACACTTCTGTCAGGGTGGTCTTGCGTTACCGAACTCTGATCCCTCCCATTTGGTGTATTCCCTGCACGCCACCAACTTTTTTTTCTTCTTCAAAGAGTAAAAGTTGCGTCCGTAAAGAGACACTGATTTTCCATTGGCAAGTATTCCCCATGGGGAACTTCACATATGTGTCTCCTCGCTTATAGAGAAGATCGTCGATAGAAATAAAGAAGAAGATCTTTCTACAAGTTCTTTTTAGGAAAGAAGATACAACTCTATTGGGGAAGAACACTTCCAACACTCTGGCATGAACGAATTCTAATATTTATGTGACACCTTTAAATGATAAAAGAAAATGAAAAGAGAGAAGAAAGAGATGGAGCCAATTAAACTTAAAAGTCAGCCGAAAACTGTGGAAAACAACCCCCTGCTGTTGTTGTTTGACGCGTCATTGAATCGTCGAGCCTTCCCCTTCTTCTTCTTCTTCTTTTTTTTCTTTTTTTCTTTCTTTTAGATTTAAGGCTCTTCTTTCACTCGATGAAGTTATCTTCGAGAGCCTTTATTTTTCACTCGTCTAGCTTCTTTTCTCCTATTCCTCCTTGTATTTTCGAAATACTTGTCACCAAGGACATGGATCCTAAGATAAGAGGACAAGCCAAAAAATCCTTCCACTTGTCATACCTAAATACTGTCGTCCAACTCTTTCGTCTTCATAAAAGTCCGCGAGCTTTATCGCCTATTCTAAGATATTTATTGGTACCTATACCTAAGTACACAGGTGGGTGGTGGGGGGAATTGAAAGTTGTCGTCGAGTGTTTGCTGAGAGTTTGCCGAGAGTTCCTTCTTCTTCCTCCTCCTCCTCCTCCTCCTCTTAGGTTCCCAACTAACGTTGTTAAACAACGTTTCCCTATCTCAACGTGACTCGCTGCTCTCCCAAGTTCCTTAATTTATATACGTCTACTTCCTCCTCTTCGCGATAAACTTTACTCTGGTGCATTTTCTACATCCGTGAAATCCGTGGATCATCAAGGAACACACCGTAACCACAGGTCGTCTATTTATCGATCGCGTGGGTGGATTTAACTGCTGATGTTCTTGCCTGCCCATCCTAAAGAACTCTCAACGTTTTCGACTTTCACTTTTTTTTTTTTTTTTTTTTTTTTATTTCCTCCTGTCTATCTTTATTTCGATAGAGAAACGAGAAAAATAAAGATACACCACACCAGGGTACACGCGAATTAACACGATCGTTCCATCCAATTCATTATCTTAAAAGGATACCTTAATGATTCCAATATTTCTATTTTATTTATCGAATTTGACAAATACAGCCATTCGCGCGTCTCAAACATGATCATCAAATCATTCAATAAGAGTGCTTTATGTTTATTTTATACATCTTGCTTCGTAGATGTTATTCTTTTTATTTCTTCCACAAGATTGGGAATATTGACAGTGGTTCTTCGTACAGTGGTTCATACAGCGGTTCGTACAGCGGTTCGTACAGCGGTTCGTACAGCGGTTCTCGATTCGAACTTTATGCCTTGTGTTCATTTGAAAATAAAAAGGAAAAATAATGAAAGGGGCACGTTTGTTTATCTAATCCAAATTCAAGTCAAGTTCTTTGATCAGATGCCGAGAGTTGTAGTTTGGGACAAGAAATCTTTCCAATCCTTTACCTATTTGAGTAGAAATGAAGTATTTAAGATAATTAGTTGGTCCCATTCCTTGGCGAAAAATCTTTGAGAAAAGAGACCGCCTCATTTCTATGTTCTCATCTTCTCAAGGAGATTGAGAAAGATGAGATCTTATCTTTTGGTACAGCAGACCAGGTTTCAAGGGATTCCCGTTTTTCAAAGAGCTTCCATGATTCCAACTGATTTACGTAAATGTACTCCACCCCACCAGTTAACGTTAACAAGACGAGATGGTTGTGCGTTGTTATTTTGAAGCTAGCCAAAGCAGTCCCAATTGGCCTCCTTTCTACATTAATATAATAGTCATAAGAATAGCAAGTTTGATTTAACCAAGATTACTAAACCTGCTGCTAGAATTTGTAATAACGTCTAGTCAAATTCCAACCAACACCTAACTCTATGTATATACTAACTTTCATGTATATGTGTATACGGGAGCATAGGCAAGCCTGCTATTAACACGAGCACATCAGATTTCCGTAATAAGATTTCAAGTTCGTGTACGACTTAATCCACTTTATCAGCTAAGCCCACGCGCATTGATGCTAACTTTCAATTAACTCTGTCGTCGTTAAATGAGAGACAGAGAGAGAGAGAGAGAGAGAAACTTGCTTTGAGCCACGTAACTCGTTTGAAATTTATATAATCCTGTTCCCCGAGTAAACAAAAATAAAAAAAAAAAAAGAAGAAGAAGAAGATAAGAACCCTTAAAAAGTAGGTGCACCATAAAAAACCATCCTCTTTTATGTAAAAAGACAGAGAGAGAGAGAGAGAAAGAGAAAAAAGGGAAAGACATAAAAAAAAGTAAATCAAGCTATTCGTTAAGTCGAAGAACCTAGGAAGAGGATTAATGATCGGTTAGAAATTTTCTAATCGAAATAAACGTTAGATCGAGAGAGTCGTGTAGAGTTAACGATCGGCCGATCGAGCACGCGACGATCGTTAGTGAAAGAGGATCGTCGCCAAGTAGAAATCTTCTTCATCTGTTAAGAGGAGAGTTCAGGAGATAGGAAAAAATCGATGGAAAAGCAAACGAGGACACATAAGTAGATATAGAGAATGATTAGGTACCTACAGGGTGCTGCAAAACTATTTCTCCTTACAAATATCTACCATTAGTAGATTTCAGGTGTCATTTGCGTACATTTCTACTAAACTTTTGTACTTTTTTCTTTTATAAAATTCCCTCAATTTCTAAACGACTGACACGTCTATCCAAATATTGGGACAAATAATTTTGCAACACCCAGTATATATAATATATATATATATATTTGAGTATATAAGAGCGTAGATCGCAGGGAGGACGTTCACGGCATTCGAACGACCTTCGGATCTATTCTCGATATAACGTAATACCTGCCCGGAGACTTCCGTCCGAGTGTAAGTGGCCCATTTGCATCTCGTAAGCGGATAATCAGACCGTTCGCTTTCTCGTTACCGTTCGCGTATGTGTGTAGGGAAAGAGAGAGAGAGAGAGGATTGCTGACTAGCAAACGCCGATCGACCGCCGAGTTCTTCGCATTCCACGTTACTTTCCTTCTCCTTCTCCCTTCCTCACCCTTACCCTATCTAGCAACTTTTAACTTATCATCTTTTTTCCCCGCTTGACTGAGAGAGATCGAACGTTTATTGTAATTTATTGTCAGAGTGTAAGATGATATTTCAATATTTTTCCTTTCTTCGAATTAATAAGAGTGTTTGTCTCGAGATATATTTTCATTGAATGTGCAATCTTGGAATTATCCGTATGCATATTTTTTCTAAAACCGATTCTCTTTAAGTCGTTGGGACAAATCATTTGAAGGTGTTGAGGGGTAGGACGAATCTTCCTTCCCTTTCATCGAGATCTGTCAAAAGTCGAAGGGATCCACGGACCCTTGAAACGAACATATGCGTGCACGTGTCAATTGGTTGGGGGGGAAAAGCCACTCGAACCTCTCGAGCGAACAGTTCGAGGACGAACTACCGTTTCTAATCGAGTTCAAATTTCACGCATGATCGAATGCTCTTAAAATATTCTAACGACGAAAGATTTATAGATCGATCTAAAATATATATATACAGGGTGTCCCTGCAGGTTGTTTCTGCATGAATTCCTTGTAAATTTGCATTTATTGGTCAATTGTATCGATCAACCCACATTGTGTCTTCCATTCGTCTCCATAAATATCGACACCGATCGAATAACAATATATTACATATATATATATATAGGACTGCTACGGATACTTAATTGTATGAATAATGGAGCAGTCGTTTCCGAAAAAAGTAACCAAAGTTATACCATAAAGAAAGGGACTACAAAAGAGGAAACTACAAAAAGGGAAGTACACTTTCAAATGGGAGAGTGGATGTACAACCCCAGTTGGTACATGCAAATCCAAGACGCTATCTTTTTCATAAACAAAGACCGATAGGATACTTTTACCTTACAACTCTATCAAAGTTTCAAACTTGCTTTTTATTTTGACGACAAAAATAGTTATCCATCCATATGTAATTTAAAAGTAACAAATTTGTCAAAAATAATGTCGATTGATTATTATTATTCTCCCGACACCTGGGGAGCGTGAATATTATCGTATAGCCGTGCGAAGAATCATTATTTACATCTAATAAACATGAGAATCTCATAAAAGTCAAATAAAAAAGAAAAATACGAGAAGCGATCATTTACAGCTAATTAACATGACCATCGAGTATTAGTTAAATATTATTTTGTGAAATATCTTGGAAAAAGGAATAAATAGTCATGGTAGGGAATTTGATGTCAGTAGTAGAACTCCATTCATTCGGAGAGTTTAACGTTGGCCAGTTTTATTTTATCAATAGAATTATAAGTATACCTGCTACTATATACTATTCTGTTTGAAGCGACTATGGTAGATAAAAAAGAGAGAGAGAGAGAGAGAGAGAGAGAGAGAGGGTCGCGTGGCAGAGGATTTTCCCTCATGGGGAATGTTGAGAAGAGAAAAGAAACTGTCGTTGGAATAGACCAAGAGGAGATCAGAGATATATTTTTCTTGTTGCGTTAAGTTAAAGTGCAACTTTTTCAATGGACGGCTTCACTTACCGAGCCATAAAGCAGACCGCAGGAATCCATACAGAGGTAAAGGCAAGTCGCGACACCCTGGATCCTCAGTTGACCTCTCGACACCGACATCCTTTGAAAAATCGCTACAACGAGAGAACACAAAATATATATATATATATATAGATTTTATTTTATTTTATTTTATATTATATGTTATGCATGAGAGATGATAAAAAATGTCAAATATAATATGCGAGAAACAAAAATATGAAAAGAGATATGGCTTACACATATGCCTACCAAATTGTCAGAAGACAGTCTTTTTAATATACTTTTATATATTTATGAATATACCGGGTGGCTCAATAATTTCTATCCCTTTTAAATATTTATCCAATATTTTCAAGTCAAGATATTCAAAGATTTTCTTTGCAAAAAGTCTTTTACTGTTACTACGAAGGACTGGCTCCTAAATATCCTGTCAATAATTTATTTTTAACAACACCAGTGCAATATTATTAACATCATTTGGTCTATAAGAAAGTCATTTATTACTTTTTTATATTTATTAATAGTTTAATATTTAACTTAAGAGACAAATAAAATAAGTTATCGTGAAGGCACCCTGTACGTGAGTTTTGTTAGCAAAATGAGGAATAAAAACAAAAAAAAACAAAAAACAAAAAAATAAAGTGTCGAAGATACAAAGGATCCTTGTGCCAACTTTCTTACACATGCAAAATCTCGACTCTTTTATCTCCGTTAAGAAAAAGAAAAAGATCTATAGATCTTAGCTCGAAACTAACGACATCCTTCGAAAAGATATTTAATTCAATATCTTTATTTCTCCGCTTGTTCTTTTTTCTGTTTTTTTTTTTTTTTTTCACTGTTAGGAGGTCACCTTGCACGCTTAATATTACTCCTCTCTATAGAATTGATTTGATAATAAGTTTCGGAGTTTGAGTTTTTCCCAAAATTGCAACTAAGATTATAAATAAAAGTTGAACAACGAAGAGGGAAAAGAAGAAAGAATCGTTTGAACTCACTCAGTTTCGTAATGCGATGTTACATTCTTTCTCTTTCTCTTAGTTTTATTTTACATGGAGCTTAAGTGGAGCCCATTAAAAGAAGCTCCGTAAAAATGGCGGAAAGAGGCAAGGTAACGCGCGTGCTTACAATGAGAAATCGGCCTTGTTATAGACCAACAGGGTGAACCTATAAATGTGAAGAGTACTCTCATGTGCGTATGGGATAGTTCAGCGGTACGTTTAAAGCCAACTATCCTTTTCCATCTTATTTTGAAGGATGATAAAGAAAGAGATGTAGAGGTAACAAGCTGTTCTAAGCACAATTAGGTAGAAATAATCGTGCTTGCCGAGAGAATACAGCAGACTGCTGCTGCCGTTAGTTATCCCTACCATCTGCTTGGAAAATCGATGATGATAGGATCTCCTTCGAGGGTATTATTACGATCTAGAGATCTGTACTAGAGTACGAAAAGAACTGAAGAGAGAAGAAGTTAAGAGAAGAGGGAACCCGCTAATCGGTGCGGCATCATTCCTAAAGGGAGGTGGAGCCTACCTACACATGATTGCACGCCTTATTGAAATCAACTTACGCGTTTCGTGCCATCAAACTTATCCAGATTTTACGATGATAACGTACAATGTCTTCCCAAATATATATAATAAAACAATACATTTTTTTACCCTTCTACAAGATATATCTACAATTACGATTTAATGGGAGCCAATCTTTTTCCACTTTGTTTTTTTTTTTCCAAATATTTCTGTGTCCAAACTTTATTTTATATTGATACACCTATACACCTATATGTAGATTATTATAATAGGACGAAGCTAAATGGACAACAAGAGAAACGAACAAATTACCTTGCATTATACAATAGTCGATTAATATAATCGACGTGTCATTTAGTTTGAAAATATATGTAAATGGATGTGTCGTTAAAGATCAATAATATCATTTAGGTGGAACAGATTCTTTTCATCCAATAAAAAAGTGATCAAAGTTAATGACGCTTAATGAAACATCTTGCTACACTGTTAAATTGTTCATTATTAATATATATATAAGTATTGTGATATTTTTCTACATGTGAATGAAACGACCAACCATATTATTTTTCTTCGGTTCTATTTTTTGATTTCTTTGCAATCGTCATGGAAGAATTTCACTTGGAGGAAAAAGATTCCGATTCTCACTCTTGAAGATGTATCGCTTTAAGTATACACCACCATACCACCATAGCATAGCATAGCATACCATACCAGTGAAGATATTTAGTGGTGTGCGTGTATATATATAAAATACACATATACCTGCAAGTTGGATGGGAGTGCACCACGGCAAAGTGCAGTTAACGACCTCCTCCTGTTAACGAACGTCAACGGCTCTAATTGAGTCCCTCTGCATCGTTTCACGCACAGTTCGCCTCTACTTTTATTATATTCCTTCTCTTTCTATTACTTTTCCAACTTATTTCCCTTATTCTTATTTTCATTCTTCTTCCGTATCATTCCTATGGATAGGACACACTTATGAAATGTTGTTCGATAAAATACTCCGTTCCTGTTTGTACGAAAACACATTTAGGGTGGGCCCCCTTCTTCTTTATTTGAAGAAGCGCTCGACATTTATTTCACTATAAATCATAGTTTAGTTTAACTGTTCGACACGTGTACGCAACGCAGACTAACACTCTTCTTAACTCTTTGCTTTTTTTTTTTTTTTTTACATAGATAAAATGATATTTAATAATATCTAATTATGCTTTGAATTGAAATTTCTCCAGCAATGTTATTTGATGTCGTCGTTGAATGTTATCGCAAGGATAGGATGAAATGGATAGTTGTAGCGAATGGTAGGAAACACGTTTCCTTAAATACATACACTTAACGGCTGCAACAGAGCTTAAAGGGTTAAGGAAGAATTTGAAGATCTAAACGAGACGAAGAGGAATGCTGTTCCGGATTGATCTTGTATATACATATATGTAAGTATCGAGTATATAGAAGAGGAGATCGAGAAGGAAATGGAGACATCAACTCGAACATACTGAAATCTTATAAAAAGAGATGAGAAATCGTTAATCCATCTTGAGAAAATTTCTTTCTCCTTCGTGTTTTAAGTTTGGATATAAGGACGTCTTTAAAAGGACACCTTTAAAACACTCCGAATCTCATGGAATATTCATTACCGTCATTATAATACCATGGTGGGAGAAGTGCCGCTGGTAATTACTAATGAACCCGCCAACATTCATCTTAATACATATACATGTAGAAAGGTGCCATGTACTTACATGCGATCGTTCCATAACGGTATCGACCTATGTACCAAGAAATCGATCGGGGATTAACGATACATCCACGTATACATTTTTTTTTTTCTCCATACCCTTTTATACGTAAGGATCAATAGTAAAAACCGGTACGATAAACCCCAGGACACCCCGTATGTAATTTTCAATTCACAGATTGATCTTGCTTCGAATTCATTTTTGCTTTACGATCGAAAACTCGTTAACGAAAAATTGTGAAGAAAGTAATATGAGAAAAAGTGATCAATAAAATGATCTCCCTTGAGATTAATCTTCATTTCACGAGCCAAAATTTGCTAATTTCAAATTATTGCATACAAAAAATAAATAACATGTATTTTCTTTCAGCGTGAAAAAGAAGTTACCAAAAGAAGAACGTATGTTAACATTTGGATAAAAGATATGAAATGAAATCCGGTTAACTTGGACCACCCTGTACAATTAGTAAACTAACTGGATTGCTTTGGTATCTCAGTTCCTGTAGGGTGTGTTCTTCCAGTTGGCCCCATCGGATTCGTTGCATATTGTATTACTCTGGATAATGTTTAACGAGTCTACTGACTGAGAGAGAAAGAGAGAGAGAGAGAGAGAAGGAGAATCTGCTCGCTTTAACTTCGTCCAATTAGAGCGCCTGTGTAAACCGATACGTCCGTAATTAAAGACTTTTTATCATCAGGTATGGCAAACTCGCATGAGATAGCCCCAAGTAATTCCTGATTACATCAAGGAACGAATAGTAGCAAATCGCAAAAGCCTTGATAGCAATCTAAATTCAATGAAATTCACGGTATCAACTTGTATAATTAATAAATCCTAATAAAATGAAGAAAAAGTGAATTTTATGAGAGACTATAAAAAATATCTGTGCCCATGTAAAATGACACGCACTTCATCGAGTTATTTTCAATGAGAAAAGAATACGTGCCAAATCGCACGCGGTTCTAGAACGCGGTTGTACAACAGCCTATAAACGCAAACAAGCTTAAATACGAGTATACGAGCGTGTAGTTTGGAATGAGTGGGCACAAACACATAGAGAGAGAGAGAGATCAGCAGGCGTGTTTCTCTATCTGAACGATTACGTCGATGCCTGGAGAATACGCGAACCCCTCGTCGTGGTGTCGATCCGACCGACCTTCGGCTTCTTCTCGGAACAGATTTCAACCGGCACATTTTAATATCCGGCCACGCGACTTTATCGATCGAACATGAAGAAAAGAAAAAACGCCAATTATTCGTTTTCTCTCGTTTAATCCATCTATCTCTTTCTTTCGTCTATTTCCTATTTTCAATGTCTCACACAAGTTACAACTTTCTCGTAATCTGCGATTACGTTCATACGGATTTATATCGGACATTGAAGAAATTTAGCACCATCGCCATTAGACGACAGCCGGACATTAACTAACGAATGGACTCGTTTGAACGATCTCTTCCGCATATCGAGACAAACTCCCTACTCTCTTTTTCATTTGCTTTATTATCTATTTCTAATCAACTTCCATAACATAATATTTAGTGCTCTATTATCATACATTAGATAAAACGTATTAAGTTGGCCAATAAATCTATATGAGCTAGCTTTTTGTTTTCTATGCAAATAAACGTTTAAAAAAGCGTGTCGATTTATTGCTTGCCTACGTTCGAAAGCCAATGTAATTAATTTGAATTTTTCTTCAGTTATCCAATTGAATATCCATTCGTGCAAGAACTGTATTTTTCATTTTTTTATTCTACTACAATTTATAGATTGTCGTCCAGGCTGTCCTATAATTGCTAATGATCTATATGAAAAATCCA